TTATGTGTTTGTTAGGACAAGCTATTTAAAGCAATTCACAAATACCTCCCTTTCTGTAGTATTCCCAAGTGTAGGTCCCTGAATGGTCACTCTGATCAGAAACCAGAATGTTGTGCTGTGCCCCTCTATAAATGTCGTTACTTAGTATAAACTTGTGGAGAAACTATAGCTGAAATGTCCAAATCTACCAAGTATGCTGCAAAAGAGAGTTCCCAGCATTGGCAAGAGGTTGCACTAGATTGAAGTACTTTCAGTGGCGTAGCGTGGGTTGTCAGCACCCGGGGCAAGGCAAGTAATTTGTGCCCCCTAACCCGTGGATTTGCGCCCCCTAACCCTAACCCCCAGATGTTGCGCCCGGTGCGGGTGGCCCCCCCTGCACCCCCCACGCTACGCCACCGAGTATTTTCAAACTGTTCCATGAGTTTATTAATGAATGGAAGTTAAAAGCCTAGTACCTGTCTCCCTCCAGCTCACACACATATTTCAGAGCCTGGCTCCAATCAAAAGCATCTGGGTCCTTCTTCAACCACCTCTTAATCTCCTCCCTGTTCTGGTCAGTGTAATCTGTGGCAATGATCTCTCGGAAGGACCCGCAGGAAGAGAGAAATTGGTAGATAGTGGGTCCGCTTCCAATATCAATCAGTGTGTCTCCTTTAACGCCATCTGCATTTGAAAATGATAATGAGGTTACCGTTACACCCACACCCACACACGATTCCTCATCTTGGCCACAATTTGTCTGCCCTCACTGGGATGATGATGGCATCTTTTGCACAGGGTGACAAATTGAAGTGGCAGTAGACTTATTTGCTCATGGGGTCTTAATCATAAGACGCATGCAAAGTTCCTGGATAATAATAAAAGCTTGGTATGCCTATATGTCCAACTGCATGCACTAAAATATCCTCTTTCTCCTCATTAATAATACTAATTAATTTATATAGCACCACCACTGTGCACGGGGAATGATAGAATGCAACAGGGAGCTTACAGGGTCAAGAGGGACAATGTATACCATTCCATTATTTCTCCTTTTCCATCAAGGAAGCTGACTGACTCACAGGCACTAGCAGAGAAAGAGGAGTGCGGGGGAGCGCACCGCCCCCGGCAGCGCGATCCCATTGGGGTGGCATCACGGCTGCCCCCCGCGCCTGTGCTGGGTGCCCAGCCCTCGCAGGCGGAGTGCCCCGCCCCCGGGGAGCGCACCATCCCTGCCTGCTCTCTGCCCCCCCAGTGCTGGAGCATGAAACTCTGCCACTGCTCAGAGGCCATTGCCCTTCAAAGATATGAAGGGTTCAATGGGTACTTATCCCACCCAACAGTTATGCTGCTCTGATTTCAATTTGCTTGCTGTACACTTATTCATACAAAACATGAATTTGGAAGCATTCTCTCCATCATGAACAACAAATTGACAAAGCTCAGCCAGCCCACCAGTGCCAGAAAGCAGTCTATGGGGGTACTCACCCACGGTGAAGGTTTTGTGGAATTTTTGCAGATAAAATGTTAGGGCCCTATTTTCTTGGGTGCCATCTTCCTTGCTGAAGGAATAGTACATTTTTAAATAATCTTTTGGAGCAAAATGCTTCCCGTAAACATCTTTCCCAGTGAAGTCCCCCTCCATCCTTCCTCCAAGTCTGCAATGCACACAAGTGTTCCTTTCCATTCTTATTGATCCAACCTCCCACCCCACCCCACCCCACCCCTGCCTATTCATGGAATGAAATCTCTTTCCAGTTGTGGACGTCATCTGGGGAACATTTGGAATTATTAACTAGTGCTGCTACTGCTGGGGTAAACCTCTTACAGGATGGGTAGGTTTGGTTTGTCCAACATTATCTCAATAGATAATGCTTAGGAAATCTCGGAAATTTGCAAAAGTTGTTTACTTCTAAAGGAGAAACCTCACTTTCTTACAACTTAACTCTTATTAATTTATCCCCTATAAAAACAGATCATTTGTATTCAAATAATAAATTAATCAATTCATCAGCCTAGATCATCAATCAGTATATTATTATCAGTTCAGCAATTCATTAATACATCAGTTATTTTGGCCTTCATCAGTTGAATCTATCAGTTCATCCATAAAATAGATAGTATCAAATAGGAAATACTGCAGGGATAAGCCGTTTGCAGGATGGGTAGGTTTGGTTTGTCAAATATTATCTCAATAGCTAATGCTTAAGGAACTGGGTGTCTCTTAAATATCCACATAATGTAGTTGCCAACTTTTCAGCTGCCTCTAATCCCCTCTCTTTAACAGCAGCCCAGCCCAAAGATGTTAATGAAAAAGGAACTGCCTCTAGTGGTATTCCAGCTGCTGGATAAGCTTAGCTATTTCATTTCTGTTTAGGGGAATGGTCTTAAACAGGGGTCAGCCGCTCCACTGTCCCTCAGACCTTGTGGGGGGCTGGACTATATTTTGAAGAAGAAGAAAAAAGAACGAATTCCTATGCCCCACAAATAACCCAGAGATGCATTTTAAATAAAAGCACACATTCTACTCCTGTAAAAACACCAGGCAGGCCCCACAAATATCCCAGAGATGCATTTTAAATAAAAGGACACATTCTACTCATGTAAAAACAAGCTGATTCCCAGACTGTCTGCGGGCCGGATTGAGAAGGTGATTGGGCCGGATCCAGCCCCCGGGCCTTAGTTTGCCTACCCATGCTCTTAAAGGTACAGAAGCAACACAAGGGTTGGGGAAGGTGCCTCCTCTGTCAGAATATGGCAGTTCCATTCTTCTTGCCTCCTCTTTTTAAAAAATAGGATATAGGGGTGGGGAAGTGTTTTGTATAATAGAAAAGTCTTGGGCCTCTGCATTTGCCAAGTTTTCTCAAACAGTTACACAACCAAGAACTAGGGAGGAACAGAAAGAAGCAGGGCGACAGAGTCCATTTCCACCTGGGAACTAATATTTTATCTCTGTTGAACATGGAGGCTGACATTCAGTTTGCTGGTATACACACCTGCTGTTCCATCAGTTGTGAAGGTGGACTCAGGGTACCTACTGCAGGGGCCAAATTAAATGTGATGCTGAAACACCAGTCTTTGTATTTATTATGCAAGTCTTTACAAAAAAACACAAATAGCATCAGCTGGGAGACGTGATATTTATTGGGATTGTGGCAGGCATGGGGGGGGGGGCAAGCGATTGACCCATTCCTCCTGTACTATGACCCTCAGGAAAATCCCATCCATTTTGCACAAGAGGGATATCTCCCATTGGCACCAATGGGGTATATTCCTCGAAAGAAATGCAAGCTCCAGTAAAAAGGGGGGTGCCTCAAAACCACCCCCTTGCATTAGTGCTGTCAAATTCCCAGTTCTGAATGTTTTCTTCCACTCTGTAAGGTAAAGGTAAAGGGTCCCCTGACCATTAGGTCCAGTTGTGGCCGATTCTGGGGTTGCGGCGCTCATCTCGCTTTATTGGCCGAGGGAGCCGACATTTGTCCTCAGACAGCTTCTGGGTCATGTGGCCAGCATGACTAAGTCGCTTCTGGCGAACCAGAGCAGTGCACGGAAACGCCGTTTACCTTCCCGCGGGAATGGTACCTATTTATCTACTTGCACTTTGATGTGCTTTCGAACTGCTAGGTTGGCAGGAGCAGGGACCAAGCAATGGGAGCTCCCCCTTCAAACCGCCGACCTTCTGATCGGCAAGTCCTAGGCTCTGTGGTTTAACCCACAGTGCTACTCAATGTGACTCGTCTAAGCATATATGCACACACAAGGAAAATGCACGGGTGTGCCGTAGTGCTTTGTGCACAAATCATAATCACATATCACTGAGCAGTTCTGTGTTTTCCCTTTTAAAAGTCCTGGCATGGTTCATGGAAGCTTTGTGAAATCTCTGCCCAGAAGGAGCCTCTAGTAAAGGCTCATAGCCAAAAAATGAAGGGAAGCTCTTGCACAATCGAGCATTTAACTTTAGCCTTTGGACTGGGTCTTGAACTTCTGTTCTGAAATTCCTGTGTGGTTTGAACTGTGGATTCAGGCATGCTGATGTGCCAGACAATTTGAAATTGAACAAAGCTGGCATTCAAAAGCACACCAAAGCTCTTGGAAACTGGAGCGGGAAACGAAGATGTCAAAAGGGCATAGATACATGTTTAGGGTTCCCAGATCTCTAACTGGAGGCTGGAGATGCACCCTTCCTAATAACAGCTACATATGAAGAGGCTTCTAGGTGGTGTCATGTATCTCTAGGGTTAGTATTTTTTATTTCCTGTATTTTAATGCCAGAGAAAGCTCCACATGGTTTACAAAAACATAACATTTTAAAAATATTCCAAACAATAAAACTTGAAAAAAACCCTATGATGCTGTGAATTTCAAAGCATGAACACGGGTGCAGCAAAGAATAGGGTGTTGCCAGAATTCCTTGGGCTAATGTACCAAAGCATTCTCTCAGTAAAAGTCAACAGAAGAACCTCAACGAGAGTCTTGGCTCAATTCCAGGTGGGCAGGACACTGGCTGACTTCTCCCTTCCCTCCTGATGGAAGGGCTTGGCTGGGAGAAGCTACACCAGGACCCTTTGAAGGCTCAGAGGAATGGCAGGGCCTTGGAGGAGAAAGGGCACATGGCTCCACAGGAAACCTGCTGCTATTCCTCTTCCACAGCCCCCTCCATGGGCTCACTCTCATCAGCATGGAGCCCCAGGGAAGGTTGCCAAGCCAAATGGCTTGGTTTTGTCTCTGCTGACTGACTGGCAGCTGCTCCCCCTGGGATTCAGGGAGTTTCCAGTCCCACTTGCAGTTGCCTTTGGGGCTCCTGCACGCACAGAAGTCTGCTGTTTCAACATCACATTTAATTTGGCCCTTGCAGGAGGTATCTTGTTAATAATTCCAAATGTTCCCCAGATGAAGTCCACAACTGGACAGAGATTTCATTCCAGGAATAGGCCGGGATATGTTTTGGGGTGGAGTGGGAGGTTGAATCAATGAGAATGGAAAGGAACAAATGTCATTTGTGTGTATTGCAGACTTGGAGGAAGGATGGAGGGGGACTTCACTGGGAAAGATGTTTACGGGAAGCATTTTGTTCCAAAAGATTATTTAAAAATGTACTATTCCTTCAGCAAGGAAGACGGCTCTCAAGAAGATGCTCTCCTAAATTTTTATCTGCAAAAATTCCACAAAACTTTCACCGTGGGTGAGTACCCCATAGACTGCTTTCTGGCACTGGTGGGCTGGCTGAGCTTTGTCAATTTGTCGTTCATGATGGAGAGAATGCTTCCAAATTAATATCCTTTTTTTTACAAGCGTGTCCACCTTTTGCAAAATTTCCAGGGGTCATCCCGTTCCCACAAGAATCGTGGTGGGAGGCAGAAGTGGGATCAACCACCCTTTATCCCTGGAGCATTTGTTGTTGGGGCCGAGGACAGTGAGCCAGTGGGTCACTTCTCAGACCAATTAGTTATTTCACTGGGAAAGTGGCCAAGAGGACTCACTGCCCCTTTGCTAGGTCCCCAAGCTGCTATTCAGCCGGGTCAAGAATTTTGTTTTGATCCAAACAATCACTTCCTTGATCAAATTTTCCACAGCCAGCTGGAATAGTTCAGTTCATAGAGTGGCTGCATGTCCAGCTTTGCAAAGGACAGCCCTCACATGAAGGAGTGCCAGCGGAATGATCCTCTCTCTGGACATCCTCTGTCCCGTTCAGTTTTTCCTTAAAGATGCAGAACCCTAAGAAAAAAGAGCAGGAGGATTGCCTTGAAATTGCCCCTCAGCACCGAGATTCTAGGCAGCAGACTGAGCTGGTCATCCGGCCACAGCAGTCCCACTGCGGTGAAATGGACTGTGATTCTGTTCAAATTATAGTATAATGATTTCAGAAAAGAAGAGATGAGGAAGAAAAGCATGTAGCATTTTTTTTAAAAAACCAAACCAGCTTAATCAAAGCATGCATAAAAATCCATGTGTTGATAAAGATGCATTCTATTGGGGGAAATTGCTTGGAAAACATGTGTGAAATGCATGCACCTTGCTCAACCTTCTGCATGAGAAGCTGCCCTAAAAAAATCCCAATTGTTCTTTTGCATCTGATCACTGTTGGCCATTGCTGGGCAACCTGTACCCTCCATGGTTGTGCACTCCTCTCAGCCAGCATGGCCAATAGGCAGGGGCGATGGAAGTTGCCAGCCAGTAACATCTGGAAGACAAAGGTTTCTCCTTCCACGGAAAACTGTATTGGCCAGTGACCCTAAAAGGTGTGACATTAGATGTTTTGCATGAATAAGTGTATGGCAAGCAAGATCATATCAGAGCAGTCATTCCAGCTTGCAGAAGGATATTCCGTAGCACTGGAAAAACTACAATTGCCTTCTTGCCCACAGCATAACTGTTGGGTGGGAGGAGTACCCTTTTGGAGTATACATTGTCTCCTTTGAGCCTGTAAGCTCCCTGTTGCATTCTATAATGCCCTATGCACAATGGTGGTGCTATATACATTACAGTGGTACTTCAGGTTACATACGCTTCAGGTTACATACGCTTCAGGTTACATACTCCGCTAACCCAGAAATAGTGCCTCAGGTTAAGAACTTTGCTTCAGGATGAGAACAGAAATCGTCCTCTGGCGGCGCGGCGGCAGCAGGAGGCCCCATTAACTAAAGTGGTGCTTCAGGTTAAGAACAGTTTCAGGTTAAGTGCAGACCTCCGGAACGAATTAAGTACTTAACCTGAGGTACCACTGTAATTAATATTGTTAATGAGGAGGAAGAGGATATTTTAGTGCATGCAGTTGGACATATAGGCATACCAAGCTTTTTTTTATTACTATCCAGGAACGTTGCATCATGGAAGAACATGCGTCTTATGATTCGGACCACATGAGCAAATAAGTCTACAGCCACTTCAATCTGTCACCTTGTGCAAAAGATGCCATCATCATCCTAGTGAGGGCAGACAAAATGTGGCCAAGATAAGGAATCGGGCGGGTGTGTGGGTGTAACAGTAACCTCATTATCATTTTCAAATGCAGATGGAGTTAAAGGAGACACACTGATTGATATTGGAAGCGGACCCACTATCCACCAATTTCTCTCTTCCTGCGGGTCCTTCCAAGAGATCATTGCCACAGATTACACAGACCAGAACAGGGAGGAGATTAAGAGGTGGTTGAAGAAGGACCCAGATGCTTTTGATTGGAGCCAGGCTCTGAAATACGTGTGTGAGCTGGAGGGAGACAGGTACTGGGCTTTTAACTTCCATTCATTAAAAAGCTCATGGAACCCTACAGGTTGAAGTAATCTAGTGCAACCTTTTGCCAATACAGGGAACTCTTTTTTGCAGCATCCTAGATAGATTTGGACATTTCAGCTATAGTTTCTCCACAAGTTTATACTAAGTAACGACATTTATAGAGGGGCACAGCACAACATTCTGGTTTCTGATCAGAGTGACCATTCAGGGACCTACACTTGGGAATACTACAGAAAGGGAGGTATTTGTGAATTGCTTTAAATAGCTTGTCCTAACAAACACATAATCTCCATGCATCTGATGAACTGGACATACTTTCTTAAGTTTCTTAGGCTGAAACAATAACCTAGCAGTAAGCGCTGCTAAATTCAATAGGATTTACTTCAGAGTAGGGCTAATTAGGATTGTGTTAAAGGTGCTGCAAGAACCTTCTGCCACTGTTTTTAGAACGCATATTCCTTATAAGAGAAATATGGCCACGACCTAGGATGGGACCAGAATGTGGCAGCTGGCCTGTACACACCCATCCCCATTTCACCTCTAAACAAGGCTGGCAGGTTTCATACTGCTGCAAAAGCCTGCCAAGCCAATTTAACCAGTGCAACAAAATTAAGGCACGTGCCATCCACCACCAGCAGCAAAGCACTTTTCACACCCCTTCCAGTTTCGGAATCCACTTTCAGCAACTGGGGAAGCAGGAGCTGAATATTTTAATAAACAGGTTGCTTTATTTCACATACTCCTGCAGGGGGACGAGGCTGCTGGCTTGCCAGAAAAGGAGGTTTGCATGCTCACTGTTTCCTGCTCTTTCCCACCTTTGCTCTTCCCCAGGGAGAAATGGGTAGAAAAGGGAGAGAAGGTACGAAGCACCGTCCGGCGAGTGCTGAAATGTGACGTGACCCAAGTCAATCCTTTGGCTCCGCTGGTGGTGGCCCAAGCTAGCTGTGTGACTTCTGCATTTTGCCTGGACTCAGCCTGCAAAGACGTGACTACCTACCGTGCCGCCTTGAGGAACGTTGGCTCCCTTGTAAAGCCCGGGGGGCACCTTGTGCTCCTGGTAGCTCTCGGAGGAAACTTCTACATGGCTGGCGAGCAAATGTTCTTCTGCCTTTACCTTGAGAAGGAAACTGTAGACAGTGCAGTGACAGAGGCAGGCTTTGATATCTTATGGTCTGAAGAGGCCAAAAATAGCTATTCACCAACATATAGTGATTGTAAGAATGTCTATTTCCTAGTTGCCCGGAAACGTATCAAGGTGTAGGTGCTTGTGGGGAAATGACAGGAGGCCAAAGGAAAGCAATAATCTTACAATGTCCATACATAGTCACACATGCAGGTCAGTGTGAGGACAGCTATACATCTCTATCTCTATCTTTCCAAGATCAAATCAGAAACTAAGATGACTTCTGTAAATCTGGGACTGTCCCTGTCTCTCTCTCTCTCTCTCTCTCTCTCTCTCTCTCTCTCTCTCTCTCACCCCACACCCCCACACAAACAAATAACCTTGGGAATTCCACTACCTGATCACCACATAGGCCTGCCTCTCATGACACAGTCATCCAAACTACAGCTTAAGAACTTAAGAAGAACCCTGCAGGATCAGGCCAATGGCCTACTACTCCAGCATCCTGTTCTCACCTTGCCCCCCCCCCCCCGATCCCTGGGGGAAACCCTCAAGCAGCAGCTGAGTATCCTACGCTGGTTGGGACTGGATCTTCCTTGTTATGTTCACAGCTTTGCAAATTCTAATGTGAAATTCTTGGCAGTAGGCATTAGTTTGATATCCTGCAGCAATACACATAATAATGACTCAGTGCATTACCTGCAGAATTACAATCTGGAATATACATGGCATTGGTTCATTCCGGCATATAACACTATATAATCACTTCTTTCCTTTTGGCTAATGTATACAGTATGTTTTCTGTAATTCTGAACTTTGTCAATCATATGCAATACGACCAAATATATGAATAAAAAAATCAGAAACCAGACAAGAGAGCATTTTCAGATGATGGCAATGTTTACCATTTAGGCAAGCTGTTAGCATTTTTTAAAACAAAAAATAGATTAAAGACCATGAGAATTCAGTTGTCAAGCATTGCTGACAACAAGGACATGATTAGTCAGATGATGAGGGTAAGGATGAACCCACCTTTCCCCCTCAGCTCCCAGGGCAGTTACAACAATTAAAGCACAATATTAAAAACAACTTACAGAAATGAGGTGGGTCATAAAAATATCTCAGGTGTTAGAAGCCAGAGTTTTTAGGGAAAATAGAGAGGCAGAAGCGACAAAGCCACTCTGTTCCTAGTACTCCAGGAGGGAAATATGACCAAAATTGCTCAAATCTGCTTTTCACACCATTGGCATATTAGAGCAACATCCCTGTAACCAATAGAGGTGAATGAGAATAATGCCAGATGAAAGGATTCTGCTTAAACCTCGTCTATTCTATTTGTGTTACATGCAACAAACAATAGGTAACAGCTAAAAATTTCCTGTTGAGTAAACTGCAACAGAACCTTTGCAGGGAGTCACTGCTGATGTGTATAAAAACCACTAAGTCTAGTTTACGACAGCTTCTGCCATTGCAGAGAAGCTTTGCCTTATTTTGACATTGCTAGAAATATTATTTCCAGGCCACTCCTGACATCACCTTATTTGACCCAAACAGACACACACACACACACACACACACACACACAGAGAGAGAGAGAGAGCGAGAGAGAGAGCGCCAGCGCCAGCGAGAGAGAGCTAAGAGTTCAATCTGGGACAATATAAAGCTGCCTTCCATTCAATATCAATTAACACCTCATTTATTCCAGTGGTTTCTGAAAGAAGAAGAAGAAAAATTCTCCAATGCACATTTAGAGGGGGAGAAATTGTCTAGCAAGTTCTCATCTAAATTGTAGAAAGGTTGACTGACCACATAGCCAATCATGAATATGGTTGCTTTGGAGAATTTCCTATTCGCTTCAAACAAGGAGTACCGGTATATGATTTTAATACTAGGTTTTTACACTGTTGTAACCTGCATTGGGACTTTGTGGTGAAGGATAGGCAGGATAACTAATCATTATTATTTATTCGTCATCATTATTAGTAGTAGGCTGTCTCTCCCATTCACAAGCACCGAGGTGAATTTTAGGACTCCTTCATTCATCTCACTGCTTCCTGCTGGGAAAACTCACTGTTTACCTCTAGTTGGTTTTTCTGTTTTTGTTCAGGTTTCCCTGGGGAAAGCAGCGGGGCAAATGAAAAATCAGGAAAGCACAGGGCAAGTGGCAAACCTCTTGGACCTCAGCTTTCTGGGCACGAGACAAGCAGAAGTGTGGCTGAGCCTGTAATGTTGCACAAACACTGCGGCAATAGAGGAATTCAGTGCAATAGCTGCACTTATGGGAATTCGTTGCGAAAGAGATTGCACATTTATTCTGCAACGAATTTACCAGCAACCTGCTTTTGCATTCTCTTCCGCAACAATATTCTGTTGCATGCTCAGGCTCTGCACTCCCTCTGCCCCCCACCTCTTTGATGGCAAGGTAAATAAAGGACACAGCACGGCTTGAGTGGGGTCAAGTTTATTGACAACAAATGTAAGAGGTTTGGCACAGGCAATTGGGCAACCATTTACTTCTGGCCTGCCTGCCGGAAGTGACACCAAGGCTCAACCCAGCAGCGGGGGTTCCTATGACTTACATCAAATAGGGGGGACCCCTGCGGGGGTCAATGCCAGTGCTGGATTTATGTATAAGCTAAACAATCTATAATAGCTTAGGGCCCCACTCTCTTGGGGGCCTCCAAAAATTTAAAGGAAAAGAAACTGGATGTGCATTTCCAAAATATGAGATATAAAATAAAACCTACATACAGCAACAGTGTTGTGTGTTGTGTAGGCTCCTATTAGGTTCATAAATTGCCATATTTATAGCATATTTTCAACACAAAAAAACAGTGACAGTTCGTTGTTGACAAAGGACAGTTGGACATACAAAGGGCCCCATTACCTTCAGTAGCTTAGGACCTCATCAAATCTAAATCCGGCCCTGGTCACACTACCTTGAGGAGTGCTGAGGTCCAAGCTCCTACCAGGGCATACAGACCCAGAAGCAACTACTCCCGGACCCCATTAACAAGATACCCTAGATTTTGAGAGGCGCAGGCAGAGATTACAATCTTCTCACTCCCCAGCCAAGGACTAAGGCTTACCCAATGCCTAAACCACTGAATTGGTGACATTTCCTTCTTAGAATGACTTTATTATTTCAAAAAGTGAAAATCTAAACACAAGAGTTGTTGGGCTTTTGGGGAGGGGCAAAGCTTTTTTTTCCAGTTTGCTTTTTAGTTGAGCTTTTTTAAAAAACAAAACAAAACAAAACAAACATTTTTGAGCTATTTTTAATAAAATTGGCCAAAAACTACACTTCCGACATGGGTTGCCATACGTCCAGATTTTCCTGGACATTTCAGCGATTTCCACCCGTACCCTGTTTCCAACTGCCGTATTCTGCCTACGTCCAGGAAATTCTGTATGGATGGCAACCCTAAAATAGAGGACAATTTCCCCCTTCAAAGGAGGGTACATGACCACTCCAGCAGAAGTGCATCTTCTTACCACCTCCTGCCCCACCTCCAGGGACAGTGGGCAGGGGAAACAAAAAAACTGTGGCAGAGCCAGTGCCTACAGACAAAGGCAGAACCCCTTTAGGACCAGCGGACTACGCAGGCTTTCTGTTGGCTCCACACTGTTGCTGGAGCAATGATTTGTGCATTTAATTTGCCACTCTTTTAAACCAAGTTGTCATTAAGGATTTATGGAAGGATGACTGTACTTTTAGGCCACATCCTGTGCATGGATTTAGAGTTATAATCTAGCCTGAAAAGCTTGAAATCAGGAAGAAAAAACAGTGGATTCAAATGTGATTGGACCCGATTTCTTATTACTATGAGCCAGGCCCATGCAGAGCTTGTCTGAGGCCCAGGTGGGAGTCCTGTTCTTGGCGCGACAGCTGAAGTCCAGCAGGCCCCTAGTGGGACCCCCTGGCCAGCTGAGCCCTCCAAAGCCTGGGGCAACTGCATACCCTCCAAGTGTCCTGATTTTCCAGGGACAGTTCCAGAATTACGAAAGCCATCCCGGTTTCTGATTTGATTCCGGAATGTCCCCATTTCTTCCACCAGCACTGCCACCACTGAGCTCAGAAGAGAAGCCAGCCCTTGTCCCAAGCAACGACAATGGGGTTGGTGGCTGCTGTGAAGGAGCACCCTGTTGCCTCTCCGTAGTCGCCGCTCCCATTCTCCTCCCTTGGGCAGCTCATAGCTGCTGCTGAAGAACAGACAAGGAGGAAGAGAGGGTGCCACTGCCAAGGCCCAGCCCTGTGTAACATGCTGGCTCTGAGGTGCAGGCAGAGGGCAGGACCACCCTGAGCAGAAAGAAAGGGGAAGCACATGGAGCCTTGGTTTTTATTTTTTTTTTAATGAGCCCAATAAAAGACATTGCATTCAACATTGGGAATAAGAAATAAATCACTAACCGGTAAGAGAATGTTGCAATGATGATCCTAGGACCTAAAAATCTCTGTTCTCCTTTGTTTGTGATAATGGAACAAATAAAGGATTTGGCTCCAATCAATCCAGAGATTTGCTAACAATTTGCAGAAAGCAAATTGCCCCACTCTAAGATTTGATTTACACTCTCCACTGTGTAATGTCTGTTAAGCATTAGTGGGTCCTCATGAGGACTTTGGACTTGTGTTTCTTTTCATTCACAGAATCTTAGGACTATAGAGTTGGAAAGGATTGTGAGGGTCATCGGGTCCAACCCCCTACAATGCAAGAAACTTTCACACAAATTGTTGCTGTATCATGATAGCGTAGCAACAGCAGTTCATTCTCTGGTACAGAATGCAATGACCAGTTCACTAAGTGCTACAGCATGATGTGATCATATTACATCGGGGTAGTTTTGTTTGTTTGTTTTTGAGTAGGAACTCAGGGGAACAGAGTTTTTCTCTTTTTTTGAATTTCTTTTTGTCGTTGTTGCGGGGGCTGGAATTTTTCATGAGGATTGGATGAAGTTTACAAGCAAGTTTAGGTGATACAAGCAAGGCTCTTCTGGGATTCTTATGGAAACCCAATGGGACAAAATCATGCACATGCAACATTTGACAAAGGGTCTCATGTATTAAACAAACATACTTGCTGATCCAAAATATGCTGCTCTGTTTAATTAAAGTTTGCACACTAGCTGTGCTTTAGTGTATTAACAAATATGAGTTAGAAACATAACAATTTGATTCCAGACCACGTCTTCTGGCGGGTGACCTTGGTGAGCTTTGTAGGCAATTGCCATGTCCCAGGCATCAATGAAACCAACATTAAGATGCCGAAAAATATCCTTTGTTGCAAGGTATTGGGCATAGCCATGGAAGTTGCTATATAGCTCCTGGTCATCGTCCATTTCCCGGGTGTTCTCTGCTTTGATGATGACCTTTGTATCTGGGCTCCTCAGGAGAAGGCGCTGGATGGCTCCCCGGATGTTAACCATCCTTCGAACGAAGAGCTCAATGGGGAAGGGGCGGAAGTGCTGGCCCAGGGAGATGACAACCACCGTGTCTCTGTTGCCTTCCACCATGTCAATCACTCGAGCAATGTAAGTGTGAGATTTCATTGAGTGCATAAAGAAAGATAAAAAGGGATGTCCATGCCTTCTCCAATGGATTGTAATGTTTTTGGTCATGTCCACAACGACAGAACTCTGGATTATGCTCTGTCCTTGGGTATCAAAGTACGAAAGCGCTAATATGGGAACAGATGCAAAATAAAGACAAGTTACATATATATATATATATATGTAAAATCCTCTGAGAAATCACTGGACTATTTCAAGTGGGGCAAAACAGAAATGGAAAAGGAACAGGACAAGCCAGTCAATTACCGTATTTTTCGCTCTATGAGACGCACCAGACCACAAGACACACCTAGTTTTTGGAGGAGGAAAACAAGAAAAAAAAATATTCTGAATCTCAGAAGCCAGAACAGCAAGAGGGATCGCTGTGCAGTGAAATCAGCAATCCCTCTTGCTGTTCTGGCTTCTGTGATAGCTGCGCAGCCTGCATTCGCTCCATAAGATGCACACACATTTCCCCTTACTTTTTAGGAGGGAAAAAGTGAGTCTTATAGAGCAAAAAATACGGTACCTTGTACAAAGTTCTGAATAAAACACTAAAAGATAATCAGGAGACCAGGAATTGAAAAACCAAAACTGATATCAAGTGAAAATAATTTGCAAATATATTGGTCAGAAGCTATAAAACACAGACTTCTTTGTAAATGCTCGCTATGTAGCCCTGCAAGGTCTCATATTCCATTTGCATACGTCTAAATAAAGGTCCTCTTGACAAAAACAGATGGATCTGTTGTTGTTGTTTTAAAAAAGTTGCTCCATTTTTACAATGAGAAATATATTGAACCTAATAAAACCACCTTTGCAGACTTGGGGGTCCCCCCGCTCCTACTTTTTGCGAGGAAAACTTACTGAGCAAAGATGTTGCTTGTTTAATAGAGAAACAGCCAAAAACGTCCACCTGCAGCAAGCCTAGCTCTCTTTCTTAGGCACAACTTACTGCTCTCCCACACACAAGTCCCCCAGAAAAGTTCCTTGCTCTTTGCATAACCTAAATGAGTGAATACAGAACAAGCACATCTGTGTCTACTGTATATCTCTATTTCTCTATCTAGCTATCTATCTATCTGGGATGTGGGTGGCGCTTTGGTCTAAACCACTGAATCTCTTGGGCTTGCTGATTGGAAGGTTGGTGCTTTGAATCCCCACAATGGGGTGAGCTCCCGTTGCTCTGTCCCAGCTCCTGCCAGCCTAGCAGTTGAAAAGCATACCAGCACAAGCAGATAAATAGGTACCACTGTGATGGGAAGGTAAATGTAGTTTCCGTGCACTCCAGTACTCGTCATGGTGTTCTGTTGTGTCAGAAGCAGTTTTTGTCATGCTGGCTACACGAGCTAGAAAAGTTATCTGTGGACAAACGCCACTTCTCTCAGCCTGAAAGTGGAGATGAGCGCTGCACCCCATAGTTGAATTCGACTGGACTTAACAATCCAGGGGTCCTTTACCTTTTACCTTTACTATCGATTGATCAATCTATCAGCCTATCTATCTATCTATCATCTATCTATCTATCTATCATCTATCTATCTATCATCTATCTATCTATCTATCATCTATCTATCTATCATCTATCTATCTATCTATCATCTATCTATCATCTATCATCTATATCTATCATCTATCTATCTGTGCTGGATTCTTTCTAACCATACCACTTCAGCCACCAAATAGAATGATCTCTCACAACATTCCTTTCATTTCACAAAGCTCTCCAACTTTCACTAAACCCATCCAAGGAAAGTGTCTCTAATCAGGCTTTCACTGCAACCAGATCAGTTCATGTGGCTCTTTATAGCCAACACCAAGCTGTACAGAAGTCTTCCTACATTACTATTATTATTATTATTATTATTAAATAATAATAAAAGTTTCTGGGTACATAGAAGTTGATACTGTTAATAGGCCAAATACTACATTGTGGTTTCTCTGGGTGGGAAAACGTACTGCTCACTCTTTTGGAGAGATACTCGATCCATTGCCACACAGTTGAGTCTCCCAGGAGGAAAACCTGCTTTCCCTGTAAGCAAGAGTAAACATTATCCAAGGTGCTGCCATTGAGCACTTTGCAGAAAGCAGGATACCATTGGTTCTGCCAAACAAAGCCACTGGGAGATGGGGAAGTCATCCCGACTCTGCAGTTCATGTTAGCCATTGTCTTCTTCCCTACCAAAAGGAAAAGAAGAAATGAGAAGATGAAAATAGTATGGAGGATTCTGTTTGAGCTTTAGAAACCCCATCAGTCAACTTGACCAGCTCTGTATTTGGGGGGGTTTAACAACTCATGGGAAAGGGGTCCTTGGGGTGGGGGATGTTGTTCTCTTTCAATATCAAGACCCACTTCTCCCCATATGAATAAACTTGGACTCTGTGATCATCCTCTGTAGCCCAGAAGATGGCAACAAGAGAACGGGCCTTTTTTGTGGGGGCTCCCCACTTGTGGAATGCTCTCCCCAGGGAGGCTCGCCTGGAGCCTTTGAAGGAAAAAGAGAGACCCTCTTGGCCTATGTGTCCATAATGATGGCTTCTCCCCAGTTAGATTATGATTACAAATGGCATGACCTACTAAGTATAACCCATTTAGCTGTCCACAAGGTGCTTTCAAGAAGCAAAAGTCAAACTGTCCACTTGCAAGGGACCTTGTGGTTGCACATTTCCTGAAAATGCTGGTGCAGATCTTGTGTTTAGAAATTTCCTGGTAGTGTGTGTACTTTTAGGGGGAAGGTATAAATTGTTCAGACTTTGTGGATGGAGATTTCCTGGCATTTTCAGTAAAGCAATGACCAGGAGGGAAGGAACAAAATAAAATAAAATAATTCCTTCCAGTAGCACCTTAGAGACCAACTAAGTTTGTTATTGGTATCTGAAGAAGTGTGCATGCACACGAAAGCTCATACCAATAACAAACTTAGTCGGTCTCTAAGGTGCTACTGGAAGGAATGTTTTTTGTTTTGTTTTGTTTCAACTATGGCAGACCAGCATGGCTACCTACCTGTAACTAGGAAGGAAGGGACAGTGGCCAAAAGATTCTGGGAATTGAGCCCCATGCATTGAGCCCCAAGGTTTTCTGTTGAGACCTATGCCTATGCTTAATGCCACATGTATGTAACCCATTGTAATCAGGCTCAAACGTTTCTCACATGTAACAATGTATTGGAACAGTCTTAAGTATTCACCGTGTGCTCATCAGAGGTGCCCAGATTCTTTGGGTGCTAACCCACTCTGTGCCTTCTGCTATAACCAAATAAACTGCTTTTTGTTTTCCACTCCCGGTGTGATCATTGAAGAAGAAGAAGAAGAGTTTGGATTTGATATCCCGCCTTTCACTCCCCTTCAGGAGTCTCAAAGCGGCTAACATTCTCCTTTCCCTTCCTCCCCCACAACAAACACTCTGTGAGGTGAGTGGGGCTGAGAGACTTCAGAGAAGTGTGACTGGCCCAAGGTCACCCAGCAGCTGCATGTGGAGGAGCGGAGACGCGAACTCGGTTCCCCAGATTACGTGACTACTGCTCTTAACCACTACACCACACTGGCTAAGTTAACCCTGTTTGAATTGGATACTTGTCCACAACACTTTCATCAATTCAATTTACATACTGCCCTTTATCAAAAGATCCCAGGGCCAAGTACAACAATAAAAACACATTAGAGAACATCAATGATAAAAACATAATAAAAAGCATACTGACAGACAGCCTATTAATAAAAGAGTCATCATTGTAACAGTCATCTCCTCCGCTTTCACAGACCATAATTTAATAGCCATAGGCCTGGGTAAAGAGGAATGACCTTTGAGTGTAGACAACTGTAAAAAGGGAAGAGTTGTGTTCATTGCTCCATGCTGTTTCAGAGGCGGATTTAGCGGAGCATGACCTGCATTGGTAAAAAGGTAAAAGTAAAGGACCCCTGGACAGTTAAATCCAGTCAAAGGCAACTATGGGGTTGCGGCGCTCATCTGGCTTTCAGGCTGAGAGAGCCGGCATTTGTCCAAAGTCAACTGTCCTGGTCATGTGGCCAGCATGACTAAACTGCTTCCGGTGCAACAGAACACCGTGACTGAAACCAGAGCGCACGGAAATGCTGTTTACCTACCCACTGCAGAGGTACCTATTTATCTACTTGCATTGGCATGCTTTTGAACTGCTAGGTGGGCAGGAGCTGGGACAGAGCTCACCCCGTCACGGGGATTTGAACCACCGACCATCTGATCGGCAAGCCGAAGAGGCTCAGTGGTTTAGACCACAGTACCACCCGCGTCCACTGGGCACCGAGCTGAGAGGGCGCTGCAGGGGTCACTGCAAAAATGACTTGGAACAGAGGGCGAGAGGCAGGGGGTGGGATTTTGGTGTCATACAGGGCGCCTCTGAAATGTGAAAGCCCAAAGTCTGTCACTGCGTGTTTCTGCTCTGATCACACCCACCACTGGAATACAACCCTGGAAGGTTATCCAAGAGGTAAGGTGGCCCTCACATTGAAAGGATTGCCCATTTATATGTAATATATGGCAGCCATTGTGGTGGTGTAAGCCTCTTCCTGGCAAGTTGGGAGTATAGGATGGTTCTGCCCATCTCAAGGTATTTGAAGGCTGTGATGTGCTAAAAAATGTATCCCAAATTCCTACATTCATTATATGGGCCAACAAAACGTTGCATTGAGAACTGGAAGGTCTAACTCACTTCCACAGGATACAACATGGATGCCCACAAATGGATGCAGGATCTCAGCTCCAACTTTGTTCCTTCAAGGGGGAAAAAATGAAGTCAGCATATATGGAATATTTCCATCATCGATGTTTCCCACTAAATTCTCACATCTAACATGTTGCTGCTGTAAATGGAAGGTGAATCTTAATCTGATTTTGCAAAGCCTTTTGTACATTGTCAGGTTTTTATTGGGTCAAGTAGAAAATGACATTAAAATGGACCTGATAAAAAGAAAGAAATTTGGTTCAATTCACTCCTTGTGCAATGAATGCTTAAGGGAAATATTTGTTCTATTACTTGCATTTCCCCTGTAAAGTATTCCGCATTACAGTGGTACCTTGGGTTAAGTACTTAATTCGTTCCGGAGGTCTGTACTTAGCCTGAAACTGTTCTTAACCTGAAGCACCACTTTAGCTAATGGGGCCTCCTGCTGCTGCCGCGCCGCCAGAGCACGATTTCTGTTCTCATCCTGAAGCAAAGTTCTTAACCTGAAGCAGTATTTCTGGGTTAGCAGAGTCTGTAACCTGAAGCGTATGTAACCTGAAGCATATGTAACCCGAGATACCACTGTATAATGTACTGTTTTTCTGTCTTTTTATTGGAAGCCTTTCTAAATGCTGCACACCAATATTTTGAATAAATGTAAGTTCTGATTGTGACAAGTATGACTTCTATATTGTTGTAATGTAATTTTTTTAATTTATTTTTTTGCTCTGGAGCTTCCCCCACCAAAACCCATGCTTTAACACTGAATTGGAGGAAATGGCAAACCACAAAAACCCAAAATTGCTGTTTTTTTTTGTGCTTCAGCTTTAAGGAGCGAGTTTTGTGGGTGAAACTCTGGGACAAAGAGAAGAGCACTCAGACATGGAGCTATAAAGCACAGATCTGTGCCTAGGAAGTGTAGGAAGAAAGGTGAGTGTGGATAAGCCCGATATTGGTGCTCTGAGGATTGTCTGGGTCTGGATCTTAGAGATTAACTAAGATACAAGTTAACAGAGAACACAGGGTAAAGATGTGCCCACACAACCAACACCACTCCAACCACTGTTCACTTCTATTGCAGAACTTGCCCAATCTTCAGCTGGAAATTAAGCAATTGTTTGCCCCACATAACTGTTGAAAGCCAATATTTTGCAACACAAATGTGTATTTAACTGGTGATGTAACCAACTGCCTTTGTGATGCATGCTGAAGCCTTGGATTCAACAGATGAAACCTTCTTCCCATCTTCTTCCTCAATACTGCAAACAGATTCCAATAATCTTGAGGAACTTGACTCATCATTGTATTGAGCAACCAAGCCGGGAAGAGGATCTATCTTGGGAGAGGAACTGCTTACCCATTTGTAATCATTTCAGCCTGCACAACCCCAGAAGGGGCACGTACACACACATGGGAACAAAAGAAGAAGAAGAGGAGGAGTTTGGATTTGATATCCCGCTTTATCACTACCCGAAGGAGTCTCAAAACGCCTAACAATCTCCTTTCCCTTCCTCCTCCACAACAAACACTCTGTGAGGTGAGTGAGGCTGAGAGACCACTACACCACACATCACCCCCCATGTGGTGAGGCACCTGAACTGCAGATTGGAACATTGCCCCCCCCCAACTACTCTTCAGCTCTAGAACAGGGCTTCCCAAACTTGGGTCTCCAGCTGCTTATGGACTACAACTCCCATCATCCCTAGCTAGCAGGACCAGTGGTCAGGGATGATGGGAAGTGTAGTCCAAAAACAGCTAGAGACTCAAGTTTGGGAAAACTCTGCTCTAGAATGTCCCCAACCACCCAGGCCGGCCTCCTGAACAGAAAGGAAGACTATAAAAGACTTTTTGTTTGGTCTGTGGCTACACCACACTGGCTGGATCAGGCCAATGGCTCATCTAGCCCAACATCTGACCAAAAACCTGCAAGCAGGACATGAACATAAGAGCTCCCTCCCCTCCTGTGGTTTCCAGCATTGCTGACTAGCTGTGGAGGCAGAGCATCGCCACCATGGCTAGTAGCCACCAGTAGCCCTCACCTCCATGAATTTGTCAAATCCCCCTTTAAAGCCATATCCCTAACTCCTATTTTTAGATACTTCTAAAAGACACTGCATTGCACCCGCTTATTCATCATTGACCCTGGGGATTCTGTATGGCTTTCTGACTGCCGACGAGCTCCAGAGAGCAAACACACAGACCCAAACTGTCTCAAAATGAAACATTCACAGAATGAACAGCAGAATTCTTAAAATACCCGGCTGCGAGTTATGAAATGCATTGACAGTTGGCCTTAAGAAGAGACAGGAGAGTGAAATACCTCTTAAAAAGCCTTCGTTCCAAGTCTGTGAGGTAAGATTTGAGTGTTAGTTCAGACTGAAGTTTCACAAGAGCTTCACACGGCACCCTCTTTGGTTTCACACAGTAGAAGGCTTCCTGGTCTCGTTCATCAAGATACTCACATAGATCCGCAGTTGTGCTTCTGACAAAACCACACTTAGTGGAGACGTGTGAGGCCCCATTCAGAAACTTGCCCCTGAAATCCATTTTGTCGTAGCCTCTCTTCCTCGCAGCCCACAGTGCAGAAACTCCTTCGCTGGGGTGGATGAGCAAGATGGAAACTTTGACATCGCCCTCCCAAAATAAAGTGAAATTGACCAGGTACGTCCCATTCCTATAGTCTGTGATGTGCCCAGAAGCTCCAGCCCCAAGACTTGAAGAGTAGATCCTCACTCGTAAGAAGTCTCCTCCATACTTCTTTCTCTCCCCCAAGTAGTTGTACAAATCTAGCCGAACCATCAAGCGGTCTCCAACGCAATAAGAACCCTTTTGGTTTAATATGGTGGCCTTGCTGTTCCTGGCACTTGTGGTGGTCATTATATCTGTGAAAGTGACACTGGGCATCAACTGGTTCAGCTTTCTCAGAATGTCTTTTACTTCTTTGTCGTTCTTTTCCCACTCTATCCTCATATTCATCAGGATGTCGCTTTTCATGGGCAAAATTCTGTTCCTGCTGTCTTTGATGGAAGAATTTTTGTTTAAAGAATCAAAATACTTTCAAATTATTCAAAAAAGTGATTACAAGTAAACCTGAATGCTAGGAAAATATGGGATTCGTTCATAAAAGTCTAGGAAGCATGGGAAGAAAATCAGTCACATTTTTTTAAAAAAACAATAATATGCTTTGTTTTAATCAAACCCCTACTGGCAAATCTGCCAGGAAAATCTGAAGCATCCCATATTAAATATCTTTTGGATGACAGGGTTAATGATATTACACTGGCCATGGCAAAGTTTCTCTCGGAAGTTGAATCAAGGATCATCATGCTTGAGACAAAACAAAATGACCGCCTCGGTTCCTCTCTCTTTTGTGGTTCGCTGTCTTAACTGTATTTTGTTCTGAAATTGTTTGATGGGTCTTTTGACCACAATAAAGATTTTATTTATTTATACTTTGTTTTAAAATGCATTTTATAATTTTCCCTAATCAATTACTTTAAGTAATGGCTGGTGTGGATATTAATATTGGCATTTTTTACATTACTTTTCAGTAAAGAAAAGGGAAAAAAGAGGCTCCTATAAAAGCTTACAAATATCAATTTAAAATATTTACGTAGCATCCTTCATGTTCTAGATTCTCTTCCCCCTCTGCCTCCATGCTGTCAATGTACGATTACTCTCAGAATAGCAAAAGCTCATATTTTTGGAGGTTTGTCCACACTTCCTCTAGTCCTGCTCCTTTCCTCAGGCAAAATCTGCTCTTTAGTGTTCAATCAGATCAAACAACAATTTGGGTTTCCTCCAGATCAGCGTTTGCTCTGACTGAACACGAAATAGCAGGTTTTCCTGGGAAAGGAGAGGGGTAAGTGGAAAACTGCTCAGACCCATACCTAAAAAGCATGGATCAAGCAGAAAACAACAGCCCCATGCTTTCTAGGCTGTGGTGTAATGTGGGTTGCCAGGGCCACGTGGAGGGGTGGGAGCAAGAGAAACCGAAGGAGTACACATGCACATTCAACGGCTTAACATCATCCATGTCACACAGGAGATCGCAGCCACAGAGATAAGAAAAGAAGAGTTGTTCCATACTCCGGAGAGGTCACTTCCTGGTTCACATAGAGAAGCTGTTTTCAATGGAGCTGAGTGATGGAAGCACACACAGCTGTATTGAGGCAGCTCCAGGTGTTGAAATTTGGCGCCCCTAACAATTTTGCACCTGGGGCAACCGCCCCTATGCCCCCTATGCTACACCACTGTTTCCAGGCATGGAACAAGCAGAAGTGTGGACGAGCCCAGGGCTTCGCAAGCCCATTTGCTCCACTACTTTCACCTGGGAAAACCCATGATTTAGCATTGCATCAGGACAATTGGGAATCGGGTTTTTCTGATAATTGCTGTTTGTTCTGATTTAGCGCTAAAGAACTGGTTTTCCAGGAAGAAAGGCAAACTGCTCGATTTTAGCTGGAAAGAATGGGACAAATGGAAAGCTGTCCAGACCCCTGTGCTTTCTAGGCATGAACAAGTGGAAGTGTGGGCGAGCTCTTAGGCCCCTAGTATACTTCCCTGCTATGCTATGCATCTACCTGTACTATTCCCCCAATACCTGTTCCTGTAAGGATTTTGCTTTCCTGACTCAGTACTGGATTATAACCTAGGAAGATTTCCCTGCTGGTTCTGCCTGCATCTTCCAGGTTGAGATAATGCTTTGCTTTTGAAGCACCCTTCTCTTTCAAGTATAGATGCTGCTGCTGCTTTCGCGTCCTTCACTTCTCCCTCGCTCTCATTCTAGTATGTGAGGAGGAAGAGAGCATTCCACCCCACACAGTTGTGAAGCTTTGCGAAACCAGGCTCATCTTTGCCTTTGACAAGCGCCAGCAGCGGCCAGCCTCTGGCGACATAAGGCAAAAGGGAATGGGAGGAGGAGGGAGCAGGGAAAGAGCTGGTAGGGAATAGATATGAGAACTGAAAAAGGCCTCACCAATGTCACCAGCAAAGTGATTGATCTGATTTGATGCATGGCTCATTGTGATACCTCTGAAGATGAGAATCTGGAGCATGCAATGAGAAAGAAATAATTACAAGCGTTCACAAGGAGAAAACAGAGCAGTAGTAAGGCACAATTCCCAAGCAAAACCTCCATGCGGAAGCATATCTGAATAGCAGGTGCCAGGGTCAAAATATTTTGGGAAGGGCAACTGCCTTGAGCCCCCAACCATACATTTGCGGCCTCCACAACCATCCAGTTGGCTGCAGTTGGTTGATAGTGGACACAGGTTTAAAAAACAATGTTTTTCCACAGGGGGAAAGGCTGCAATAAAAGGTTTCCTGAAAAATAGAGAAACATTTACTCAATGTGAATATTGCATTTAAAATTCCATTCTGCGAAAGTGTCACACCGCAAGAGCCAAACTATTTACTTCTATTTTTAAATGGTCACCAGAGTCCAATCCATGTTGTATTTCAGGGCCATCAGGTGCTAATTAACTAAATGTCTTAACAACAACAACAACAGCAACAACTTTTTATTTATACCCCACCCATCTGTCTGGGTTTCCCCAGCCACTCTAGGTGGCTGACAACAGAATATTAAAAATACAACAAAACATCAAACATTAAAAGCTTCCCTAAACAGGGCTGCCTTCAGATGTCTTCTGAATGTCAGGTTGTTGTTTATCTCTTTGACATCTGATGGGAGGGCGTTCCACAGGGCGGGCGCCACTACCGAGAAGGCCCTCTGCCTGGTTCTCTGTAACTTGGCTTCTCACAGTGAGGGAACCACCAGAAGGTCCTCGGCGCTGGACCTCAGCATCTGGGCAGAACGATGGGGGGTGGAGACACTCCTTCAGGTATATGTACATACACCATTTTTAAAAAATATATTTATGAATTAGTTTGTGTTATTGAATAAGGTAAGACACTCTACCTGGGTATCAGTTTTGTAGATGTGGACAGTGTAGATGATGAAGAAACTGACTCCAAGCACGAGAGCCAGGAAGGCTGTTGAGGTCATGGTATAAACCAAAGATATTCCTGGCACCTCTGTCAAAAGGCACAGAGAAATTCCTTTTCACCGCCTTTGGTTTCAAACCTGTTGCAACCAAAGGCAAGGGGAGAGTAGTAATACTTTCCAACAGACTATTCTAGAATGTATGTTTTTAAAAAACTCACTGAAAATTCATTTAACCCAGTAGCCTGTAAGTATTGACATCAGAAAATCATTAATAGAGTAGTAGGAGCTCTCTCTTTTTCTCTCTCTCTTTTCTACTCTGTTGCACTCTTACTGATATTATTAGGATATGCATTTCTATAATGCAAATAAACCTTTTAATAACTGAAAATACTGCTGATTTTCAGATATGAAGATCTCCACCTGGTTGTAGTTCCTGAGTTTTGAATGGATGAATATGCACTCCCTACTTCTCTGAGTTGTAAGAATTCCCATGTTACATATTGAAAATAAGTAAGTAAAATAATAATCATGTTGATAATAATACTTCCAGGGTAGAGATTACCAGCAGATGGCTTCCTTTGGAGAGTACTTGAGCCTTTGGTCCTTAAAAACAAGCAAGCAAGCAAACAAACAAACCTTGCTTGTTTACAAATATATGAATAACACAGGCGGAGACCACTTTCAAACTCCTAGCTAGCCCTCTTTCTGGGTCTATCATTTCCTTGTTCAGAACTGCTTCTGTTGCTGTCTCTCTTTCTCTCATAGTGGGTGCAGGGTGCCCTCTTTTTCATCAAAATTGCTGCCAACCACCTGACCTCACCTCTAACCTCTGATGTTTGATCTCAAGGATGGAAAAAGGCATGATGCTCAGGCAGACCCTTTAAAACACAGACTCTCTGACCATAGGAATCAAAGTACAGTGCTGCACTGGGCTCAAGGACTGGTGAGGGAGCATAATATCCCAGAAGACTACAGAAAGAAATAAGGTGGGAGGGGCATAGGAACCAATGCCTAGAGACTGAGGTCCCTCCCCCCATTTTTTTTATGGGGACAGGCCCCACCAAAGTTGATGGGCATTGACATTCAAATAGTGTGAATGTACCATATAATGAAATGATTTTAGAATGTTGTATTATTTTACTGCTGTTAGCTGCTCTGAGCCTGGCTTCGGCTGGGGGGGGGGCCCAGGATATAAATAAAATTGATTGATTGATTATGCAGGGTGGGGCTTACCTGCCCCACCCCTCGATATTTTATTCTTCCACCTGGGGATGGAAGAATCTTAGCAAATTTGAGACACCGTGTGGAAAAATGCTATGTGTGTACCTGTACATTCTTTGCCCTTTGTTTTTTTTTAAAAAATGTTTCTGCGGCCTCCGTTGATGTAGAGTAACACCCTCAAAGTCCAAAGCCTTGAACTCTTTATATGTTTCAGACCTGTTTGACAGTGGCAACTTGGCAACAGATTCTGCAAGAGGAATAGTGCTGCTTTGAGTATTTATAGGGGCCTGGATCAGAGAACTCCATTTTGATTGGTCAAGGGAATGGCAGGCTCTGATTAGCTGGAAGTTCTGGTTGGTGAATAAAGGGTAGTTAATTGTCAGTTGCGGAAAACAAACGTCAGTTCGGAAAGTCGGTTGGGAAAGTCAGTTGATGGGGGAAGTGTGAGGCAGTGGCGTAGCGTGGGGGGTGCAGGGGGGGCCGGCCGCACCGGGCGCAACATCTGGGGTTAGGGCAAATCCATGGGTTAGGGGGCGCAAATCCACAGGTTAGGGGGCGCAAATCCACTTGCCTTGCCCCGGGTGCTGACAACCCACGCTACGCCGCTGGTGTGAGGCAAAGATTTGAGAAGACTGAGGGTCAATAGTGGAGAGCTGAGGTCTGAATATTAAGCTACTCACCCCAAGTGTGTTAGCAATACAGTGGTACCTCAGGTTACATACGCTTAAGGTTACACACTCTGCTAACCCAGAAATAGTGCTTCAGGTTAAGAAGTTTGCTTCAGGATAAGAACAGAAATTGGACTCCGGCGGTGCGGCAGCAGCAGGAGGCCCCATTAGCTAAAGTGGTGCTTCAGGTTAAGAACAGTTTCAGGTTAAGAACGGCCCTCCGGAACGAATTAAGTACTTAACCTGAGGTACCACTGTACTTGGCTGGTGAAGAACTGAAGAAGGAAGCCAGTGGTTGGGTTAGGATAAGATGGTTGCCCTGACTAAAGGTCTCGCCAGAAGACACAGGCCTTGAAAAATCAGCTAAACTGTCAAAGTTAGCCAGAAACACAAATGGGTCAGTTCTGGGGGCAGAGTATGATTGTCCCTAGTAGCAAAACCAGGTTGCGGGTGAATTTGGCTGGTGTGGAGATTTAGTGAAATTGGCCTGAGGCAAAAGCCACCAAAAGGTTGGCATTACTGCTCAAGTGTCTCTTGAGTCTTTGGAAACTACCAACAAGCACATGAAAGAACCCATTGTCAATATCAATATTCCCTTATGTACATAAGGAAATTTAATGTGGACAGCTTTAGTCCATAGTTCATGCTGTCTCCATGCCCAAGCCTATTCAACCAAGTTACAAGGCGACTTTATTCACTCTTCTAATTCGTTTTGATGCTTTCTGCATATCAACTTTGAACATAATAATTTATTATTTGTACCCCGCCCATCTGGCTGGGTTTCCCCAGCCACTCTGGGCGGCTTTTAATTATTAAAAATACATTAAAATATCATACATTAAAAACTTCCCCAAATGCCTTCCTAGCTCAGAAGGCGTTACCTGCAAATGGGTGGAACCCTGGGATCACTTACTTTAGTCGATAACGGGGCTATCCCATGTCACAGCTAAATTCCTAGAATCCTGGCACTGGAAGATCTAGTACCAGGATCAGGCTGACATAACCTATCTGCCAAAACAGCACATTCTTTTTGTGCTACTCAACCCACCTATTCTATAAGCTACAACAGAATGCTTTAAAACAACAACTCCAAACTTCAGCAGGTGGAGAAGACCTTGTGGGTACCAAGGAAGACGTATATGGGTGACACACTGGCAATCCCTGCCTTAGTTTGAGGTACCTCTTAGAGACATGTGTAAAAAAAGGGAGGTGATGATTTCTCCTGGAGGAGGTTTAGCAAAGGTTATTCCACACCCCTTCTGTTCCACGGAGATCTTTTTCCAGCACATTCTGCACACACTCATCCAGTTTTGCAGAGAGTCCGTAATACATATTATCAAACAGCTGGTTGGATAATAGAGAGCTTCAAGGTCCAGGCCATTGATTTTATTTTTATTTATTTAATAAAATTTGTAAGTCGCTTCCTTGACAGAAGGCAACTGAGTGACGATCTAAAACTTTCTTTATATATGCAGATAAAAACAAACATGAAAAACAAGTTAGCACAATTTTTAAAAATATAAATAAAACAGTTGCTACACATATATGAAAATTACATGTCTTGGTAGGCTTGTGGAAACAAAAATAATTGCTGAAACCAATACAGAAAAGAACCTGACGAAGATCAATGGGAAGGGAGTTCCAAAGAGTAGTGCACATATTAGTAAAAATAACATACAAAACACATTATATTCGGGAAAGTTGCTTGCAAGAATGTGTATATTGGTCAAAACTGCATACAGAAACATGTTTAATAGGAGAAATCTGCACTAATATGCTGGTGGTGATTCGTGAGGATACCTTAAAAAAAATAAAAATCTAATTGTAGAGGAAATGCAGGTAACTGAATTTAAGAAACTTTGAAACTTGGAAAGCCAAAGCTGACAGATTTCTCTATCCTGAAATCCAAGCCATATTTCTGACAAGGTAGCTTCTGGACACACAGACAAGGGTCAGGCACCAAGTTTAACTGAATAGCCTAATGGCCCTCCAGAGGTATGATGAAGCATTCCTTTTGCAAACGAAAAGCATTCCGCACAAGCACAAAGGCACATTTTGGTAAACAGAATGGTGGCAAGTCCCCCTGCACAACTAGAAATCAATGCAGAGTTCTATTTTAGTGTCTGTTCTCAGTGCCTTTAGCTCCCTCTTCTGGTTTCCACTCAGCCAAGTGCAGTACTTTTGCCTATGAATAAAGAGCTGAACTGCTGCTCATCTAGTGCAGCCCGAGCAACAGTTGTTGTAACCTGGCTCAGCGGAAGCCACACTGGGATTGGAAGATTAGGCTATTAGCAAATGCATACCAGGATGTTACACACAAGCTCAAGAGACTTCATGTGATAGATCATGTTTCTCACTGAGATTTAGCCAAGAGGCTTCCTGCTGGTTACTTGCACAGAAGCAGCTGCCCCCAATCTGATTATTCGCTATTTGAGAGTGATTCCACAGCTAATAATTTAAGGTTTCTAGGAACAGCATCTTTTAGCCAGGGTGAAGAGGAATGTTTTAAAGTTTTTCCTGAATGTTAGTGAGGGAGGCAGACACATCTCACCAGGGAGGGCATTCCACAAATGGCAAACTGCCAACAAGAAGACCCCTGGCACGGATCAGTGCCAACTAGGCAGCATTCGGTGGTGGACTTCCTGTCAATCGTAGGGCCCAAGATGGTTGATATTGAGGGAGGCGCTTTTCAGTACTTGGATCCCAAGCTGTTTGCAGGTTTGCATGCTAGTACTTAAATTGGACCAGCAACCACTGCAGTGCCTTCAAGAGTGGAGACACATGGTCCCATCGGGCTGCTCCAGTCACCAGCCTAGCAGCCACAAATGGAACAGGCAAGATGGTTCTCTCCGTTGATCATAAGGGGCAAGGTCATTCTTAACAGAGGTATGTTAGAAACATCATGATTTGGCTCCAAACCACTTGTTCTGGTGGGTGAACTGTGTTTGAATTATAGGCGATAGTCATGTCCCAGGCATCAATTACGCCAACCCTGAGACCTCGAAAAATGTATTTCATGGCAAGGTATTGGGCATAGCCATGGAAGTTGCCAAATAGCTCTGTGTCTGCATTCATTTCTCGGATATTCTCTGCTTTGACAATGACTTTTGTGTCAGGGCTTCTCAGGAGAAGGCGCTCAATGGCGCGGCGAATGTTTACAACCCTTCGCACAAAGATATCCATGGGGAATGGTCTGAAGTGCTGGCCTATAGCGATGACGATGGCTGTGTTGCTGTCCCCTGCTACTTGGTCGATTTCCCGAGCAATGTAATTCAGATCTTTCACTGAATAGAAGGCCTTTGTCACGAGGGGGTACCCGTGTTTTTTCCACTGGATGAATGTGTTCCTCTCCAGGTCCAAAGCCACACGTGTCTTGAAGACTGGAACGCTTTGGTGATCAAAGTACTTCAGCGCTAACAAAGAAGAGGTTGGAAAGAGGAAATGAAATACTTTAATAGGAATGTCTTGAAAACTAATAGCAAGGAAGTTCTGATGGTTCCAAGGGATAGCTTTTCTTTTTTATAATATTTTTATTAGTTTTCAATTACAATATTCCAATTATAGCCTCATTATAACAATGCCATATTATAATACAATTACTAATACCAACCATTCAGATGCCAAATTATATAATTTAGGTGCCCCCCTGTGTGCTAGAATTGATGGTTTGATGATTTACTTAATTTCTGCATTCCAAAAATCTTATTAATTTCAATTACACTCCAGTCAAAATAACAATCCCTTATACAACAACTGCAATATTAATGCCTTCCATTTTTATTGGCACATTAAATGATTTATAAATCAACAGGTGAATCATTCAAACTATATCCTTTTTCTTCCTGTGTGTAGCAATTGTTAAGTCGTGGGTTGACATAGCAGTCGGCACAGCGATTTCTTCAAGTAGCTCTTTATTATGGTAAGCTGGAATACAACTGACTGCGACAGCTCAGCCGGCCTGTATTTATAGGCAGCCGGCTGTCACATTGTAACCACAACAGCCCAGAGTTCCCGCCTAAAATAACTGCCGCGGACCTGAGTGAAAACTATCTACAGACCTGAGTGAAAACTATATACAGTATCCCCCTGTTGGCCCAGGGTGAAACTACACTACATAACAGCAATTATTCTGTCCATGGTGTTTCTTCCTGTCCTTGTAAAATGTTATGTCTATCTTTTCCTAGTTGTTGCTGTTTTCCATCATGCCTTGGGCGGATAACTTTTCTGCCCTACATGTCTTGATCTTCCAAGGGTCCAACAACATTCCCTCCCCAAAAATTATTCAGAGCGCTTGAGCTCATTCACAATACTAGGTAGTCAGGTCCAAGAGTCCATAACTTAGTGGTAGAGCACTTGTTAGCAAGCAGATGGTTCCAGATACTTTAACTGGAAATGTCAAGGATTGTATCTCATGTAAGAAGGCAGGGAAACTCCTCTTTACTGAAGACTCTAACGCCGCAGAATTACGCAGCTATCTTTGTGTACCTACAGAGGGCTGCATTCCTTAAAGCCAGTGTTCTTCAATTTGGGTCATTGACTAAGTTGGTTGGGCATGATGGGAGTTTTAGTTCGACAACATCTGAGGACCTGAGGCTGAAAACCACTGCCTTAAACTACAGTCCCACATCCCACATTCTGCAAAGCAAGCTGCTTTGGAAACTTAAGAAACTGCCCATTGCAATAACAGGTTTGGGGATCTGCTGTTCAAAGGAGGGTGTAGTCCAAAATTTCTAAACTGGGAAGGAAGGAAAGAAGGAAGGAAGGAAGGAAGGAAGGAAGGAAGGAAGGAAGGAAGGAAGGAAGGAAAACAACATTTTGGATCTCAGAAGAGTGAGAAAATCCAAAACCCAGCCAGGACGTACTTGTCACTCTCTTGGTAAGGTAATAAATCCATTGAAATGATGTTGAATCCCCCATGAGATAAATCATTTTGCTCTTCAGACTGGCACGGATCTTATCCAAAGTGCTGAAATCATGGATGGAGCAAAATTCTGGGTGCCAGGTGTTGCGCAAAACGTAGCCGCTGGGGACAGGAGAAGCCATCCCAATCCTGCACTTCTCTCTCGTCACCTTACTCGCTGAAGAAATATAACAAATGAGAGGATGAAGAAGGAAGTAGTCGCTGATACTGCCTCTGACCACACAAGACCTCTCCAGGAAGTGATTGGCTATTCAGATTCTCATCTTTGTAGGAAATCAAGTCATCCTAAGCAATAACTGAATTTTCTCCCTTCCATTATTCTTCCCATGACCTCTCTCTCTTGCCCCTTTCAAACTCTCCTCCCATCATCTTTTTTCAAATAGTCCTGTTCTTGCCACATTGCACCTCAGTCTTACAATACCAATTAAAAATACAGACCCTCCCTCAATTTCATCATTTGTTGCATTCAAGTTGTGACCAGAACCAGATAGTCTAGCTTACTTTTGCAGGGCACGACACGAATGTCCCCGAAATTCTGAGGTATCTGAATTCCAACACTGGACGTTCAAGAAAGAGAAAATACTCATTAGAGAAAAGCAGACGAGGACAAATTAGGTTTTTACACACCTTAATGGCTACTGCTGGAAACTCAACACTTGAGCCAAGCTTCCATTGGAAGGGGAGTGGGAACACCTGTTTGTAACTGTTTTGATAACCGAACTTTGGAAAAGAGATGGAAGCACAACTTCTCCCTGTTTTCAAAAGCCACTTTCAGATCCTCTAAGTATCCCTTTTTTCCAGGGACAGTACTGGATTTACAGAAGCTGTCCAGGTTTCTGATTTGATCCCAGAATGTCCCACTTTTCCTTAGGACATCCCTATTTTCGTGGGAGAAATGTTGGAGGGCATGGGATTGTGCAACCCCTGAGCCAATGTTTTATTATATTTTTTAGTGTTTAATGTTTTATTATATTTTTATATGTGTTGGAAGCCACCCAGCGTGATTGGCGCAACCCAGTCAGATGGGCAGGGTATAAATAATAAAATTATTATTATTATTATTATTATTATTATGGAATAGGATGTCCCTATTTTCATTGGAGAAATATTGGAGGGTGTGCACTTAATGGTCTGTGAAGAAACCTTCCCTGGTTCTGCAAATGGATGGAACAAGGGAGATTTTCTTCCCAGCATGGCCAGCAGAGATGATAAGATATCATCACTCAGATTTTGTTTTCAAAGAACCTTTTAGAGGATCCCATAGGAGTTTTCAGTACTTCCCTAAGATAAAGCATTTGAACAGCAAATAATGTACCTGTTTAAAAGTCTCTTTTCTATGGCTGTTAAGTATGAGATGGGTTTGTTGTTGGACGAAAGCTGGACGAAAGCTTCACATGGCACATATTTTGGTTTCACACAGTAGAAGGCCTCCTGGTCTCGCTCATCTAGATACTCGCACAGTTCTGCATTTGTGGTCTTGTTAAATCCACATTCAGTGAAGACATCTAACGTTTTGTTTAAAAATTTGCCTTTGAAAACTATTTTGTCGTAGCCTTTTTTCCTTGCAGCCCACAGTGCTGAAACTCCTTCGCTGGGGTGGATGAGCAAGATGGACACTCTGACATCGCCCTCCCAAAATAAAGTGAAATTGACCAGGTACGTCCCATTCCTATAGTCTGTGATGCGCCCAGAAGCTCCAGCCCTAAGACTTGAAGAGGAGATCCTCGCTTGTAAGAAGTCTCCTCCGTATTCCTTCCTCTTGCCCAAGTAGTTGTATAAATCCAGTCGAACCATCAAATACTCGCCAACACAATAAGAGCTTTTGTAGTTTAAGATGGTGGCCTTGCTGTTCTTAGCACTTGTGGTGGTATTGATATCCATGAAAGTGATGCTGGGCATCAAGTCGTCTAGTTTTCTAAGGACAGCTTTAATTTCTTTGTCCTTTTCTGCCCATTCCATTCTAGCATGTCTCAGGGTTCCATCTTTCATTGCCCAAAGTTCACTCCTGCTGTCTGTGATTGAAGCATTTAATAGTATTAAAAAGGAAGCCACCTTATATTAGACACTTAGTGCATGTAGCCCAGTATTATGGACTGTCTGTATATTGGTGCAGATTCTGCAGGGCCTCAAGCAGATGGTTTTTCAAATTAGCTGCTACGTTGTCCTTTTAATGGGAAATGTTGGGCAGTCATTCTAAGTCAAGGGTCAACAAACTTTTTCAGCAGGGGGCTGGTCCACTGTCCCTCAGACCTTGTGGGGGGCTGGACTATATTTTTTGGGGGGGAGGGGAATGAACGAATTCCTATGCCCCACAAATAACCCAGAGATGCATTTTAAATAAAAGCACACATTCTGCTTATGTCAAAACACCAGGCAAGCCCACCAAATAACCCAGAGATGCATTTTAAATAAAAGGACACATTCTACTCATGTAAAAACACACTGATTCCGGGACTGGATTTAGAAGGCAATTGGGCCTAATCTGGCCCCCGGGCCTTAGTTTGCCTACCTGTGTCCTAGGTCTTACTGTTCTACCACCAAGTTGCAATCCCTCCATCATCTTAAAAATGTTTTAATTTACAAGAATCTGGGAAACAGAGGTAGGGAATAAGCTGCACCACATATTTTCTTTATTGAAAATGAATATTGTTCACAATGCGTTGTGTTGATATAATGCCTGGCGTGGTTACAAAATTAACAAGAAAATGCTTACCAATACCTGCAGGAACTTCATTTTCTTTAAATTGCTTCCCAAGGCCTCCAAAGATGGTAAACTTGAGTGTGGAATTAAAAATAAATAATTTCAAGGGTGAGCACAGAGACACTGCCTCAGCTCCAATGGGTTCATTTGCAGCAAATTGAAAATGATGAAACCAAAATGTGGGTTCTTCCCTAGCTCCCCAAAATAATTTCTCATCCTGAATCACCAAACATAGGGGTGGGGGGAGTTTATTCTCAGGCCACTGATTTCTGGAGGCAGAATCAAGCCAATACCCTCACAATTCAATGGCAATATATTTGCGGAAACAGGCACTGAATGATAGATTCCCACTTTCCTCTTATAACTTGCTGAATAAATACATATATACATCTTCAGGCTGGATTTGGCTAAACTGTGAAAGCATAGGAGGGGTTGTTTCAAAGAGGTGAACTGGCACAATGTAACAAGAGATGTTTAATATGGTGATGGGCAAAAATGCCAACTTTGTTTTTTAAGAGGAGCTGTCAGCTTCATGCAATTCTGGTGTAAATAATGATCTGTGATACTCCATATACAAAAGCAGTATACCCCTAAATATCAGGTGGCAAGGACAAAAGGACTGGGGAAGGGGGTCACTTTCACACACAAACACACACAGTTCCATGCATCCCAGAGCTCTCTGACTGGCCTCAACTGAAAGCTAAATATTGGATTAGATGGCAGTTGGTCTGATTTAACAAGGCAATTTATGAACGGACGGCTTACAGGTGCAGACACTGTGTGGATAAATACAAGAACACTTGGAATGAGCTTATACAAAATGTAGTAGGCTATTAACATTTTCATAAGCACTAGGACAACAACACTATAGCAATTTATACATGAATGTATGGGAATATTGTATACTGTTTCTTCTTTTTTGGTATATTTTCCCATTTATATGTATCCTTGTTGTTTTTCTCCCTCTCACTTTTCCTTCTTTCCCCCACTTTATTTCTTTTAACTGAAATCACCTTAATAAAATATAAATATTAGAAAACAAACAAACAAGGCAATTGTAACATTCAGTGCATTTTTTCCAGACATAGGGTGCTGGAACACACTTCCCTCAGAAAACTCACTTCAAGCTCCGGGGAAGAAGCTAGTTGAGGCTGCTCAGCTGAGGTGAGGGGAGCCTTCTGCACCTTATCTGAGCAGCTGAATGAGTCCCTACCTTGCATCTCTGGCTCATGTGAGCCAGAATGGCGTGGGGGGCTTGCTCGGCTGAGGCAGAGCTTTCACACGCCTCTACTATTAGCCAGGAGGCTGAAGAGCCTCAACTAAGCCTTGCTGCGCCTCCAACTTGCAAGGAGACCCTTTCCAGAGCTCGTAGTGGATATCCCCTTTGGCCTCCTGGGAGGGTCTCCTCATGAATCAGAGGCACAGCGGGGCTTTGCTGAGGCTGGTCAGGTCTCTCCTTCCACTTCCTCGGCCCAACTGAGAGGTCCCGGTACACCATTCTGGCATGTTTCGGCTGAAAAAAAAGCCCTGGTAAAATTGCTACATTTGTAGCATACATTTAATCTCTTATTATAATGACTGTAGTTTTTGCATCACATTGCCATTCAACAGTGTGTGTGTGTGTGTGTATAATCCTACCTACAAAGATTTCACTTCATGCATCTGATGAAATGGGCTTAGATCCACAGAAGCAATGCATTTGCTAGATTCTTAAGGTGCTGATTTGTTTTGTTTTTTGCTGCTCCAGATTAACATGGTCATACCTCTAGGAACTCTAAATTAATATTGTGGTCAAAACTCCTCTCTCTCTCTATTTATTTATTTACCGTATTTTTTGCTCTTTAAGACTCACTTTTCCCCTCCTAAAAAGTAAGGGGAAATGTGTGTGCATCTTATGGAGTGAATGCAGGCTGCGCAGCTATCCCAGAAGCCAGAACAGCAAGAGGGATTGCTGCTTTCACTGCACAGCAACCCCTCTTGCTGTTCTGGCTTCTGAGATTCAGAATTTTTTTTTTCTTGTTTTCCTCCTCCAAAAACTAGGTGCGTCTTGTGGTCTGGTGCATCTTATAGAGTGAAAAATACGGCAAGTTCCAGTTGAGATGCTCACTTTGTGTTTAAGGGTCACCAAGCACTAAACACATATTGGATGTAACATCAGGGAGTGACCCTCTTTTTAAAAAGGAAAAAAACCCTCCTTAAGGCACTTTATATTCCACTCTTTCGCTTTGCCAACATTTTATTTTCATAGAAAGAACTGGGTGAGGAATGATTCCTACCTTGGTCTCCATTCTGTGGAAGGTGTAGCTGAGGACAAGGACTGTTCCCAGGACAAGGGCCAATAAAGTTGGCGGCCTCAGGATCTGCACTAAAAGCATTCTGATCAGCTGTGTGAGAGGAGAGAGTTACTCTTGATTTCAACTCTTATCAGTGTAGCATATCTGAATGTTGCTTTAAGACTGAAGGGGAACTCAAGCAGTGAATAGACATTCATGGTAAAAACCAATTTCATTTTTACATGCTTGAGTTCCCCCTGGTGAGGACACATTACTACCCTCTGCAGAACCTTTCTCCCAAAGAGGCATCAGAAGAAGAGTAAACACAGAAATAGTGCTTCGTAAATGTGTGAGGAGAAAGATGTCCAGGTAACAGCTTTATAGCTGTCTATGAGAGGAAACCTGTTTTTAAAAGTTGCTGAGGTTGTCGCCCCCTTTAATGAACATGGGATCGCCCCATACCCTCCAACATATCACACAGCAGTAAATTAATCAAGCAGAGTCTACTTCATGAACAGAATAAAGGTTTACTGAAGAAAATAAACTTGTTCATAAACAGCGAAGTCAAAGAGCATACACAGAGTGCTCATAGCAGCTATCTTAGTCTTCACAGAGGCACAGATCTTGGTTACTGATTAACTGGAGTCCTGGAGCCACTCTGTCTGCAACAACACAACATACTGGCTGACACACACACAGACGACACTGAGGCCCACAGAGATGGCTGGTTACATTTACAGTCATACCTCGGGTTACAGACGCTTCAGGTTGCATTTTTTCGGGTTACGGACCCACCAAAACCAGGAAGTACCGGAACGGGTTACTTCCGGGTTTCGGCGGTCGCGTATGCACAGAAGTACTAAATCGCGCATTGCGCATACGCAGAAGCGCCGCTGCGGGTTGTGAACACTGCGGGTTGCGAACGTGCATCTCACACAGATCACGTTTGCAACCCCAGCGTCCACTGTATAGGGAGCCCAAGATGAGTCATGAGTCACAGTGACACAGCATTTTACTGCTAACAGTTAGCTTTGAAAGATTTGTGTAGGCCTCGTAGGCCACACTGCCTAGGCCTTGCCTGCTTCTGCTCTCAAGAACCTTTGTCTCATGACACAACACTCCTCAGATGAAAACAGGAACATTTCTCACTCGCCCCATCTGACCCTCCTAACCCCAATTTTTTGTACCCCCATTTCCTATCAGAAGAAGGTGAGTGCCACAACCACTTGACCGATGGGATACAGCACACCCTCACCAGTCCTGAGAAAACCTCTTAATCCAGATTATATTTTATTTTAGTCTTTGGCAGATGTACAAAAAGAAAAGCACACACCAATGAATATATTTTAGAAAGGGGCAAGATTGGATGAGGAAGCACAAGGCATATATATATATATATATATATATATATATATATATATATGCTTTCGTAGATTTTCACGGGTACAGGAATGCAGGTTTTGGTGTCCTCGGGTGTCTTCCCGTGTAAAAGTTGGGGTGTCTAGGCGACGTTTCGACGAGGTCTCACTCGTCATATATTTATATATATATAAATATATATATATTTTCAAGATTCCTTGTGCTCTGCTCGCCCTTTCTCCAACCCCCGGGGGCGGTTCTGCCCTCTGCCTGCCCTTCAGAGCTGGTGCGTCACATGGAGTTGGGACTCAGAGGTTGCAGCCTCTCCTTTTGCTTGCCCTCTCTGCAAGGGAGGAGAGTCAGCAGGATGCTCTCTCACAGCCACAATCCTTCCTGCGCATTATCATCATCATAATTTATTACGGTCAAAGACCAGCTCGAAAAGTGTAGCAATGTGCTTAGGGAAGCCATTTTGAGAGTTAAAATGTTAAGCAAGGAAGCCATTTTGTTGATCTAGGCCACGCCCCCATATCCAGTAAATACACTACTCAGAGACACACAGAGATAGGCTGATAAGGATTACCAAATAAGGACATGGAAGGGTAATGTCCAACTCCTCATGCCTTAGCTCTAGGCAGAACCTAAGGTTCTAGAACACAATCTCCCAGCAAAGCAGTTCTTGTCTCTAGGCCGAATCTAGTGTATCTATCTGAGTATGTGCAATGCTGTAACTTTTGATTGAATAAAGACCTGATTCAAGAATGTATAAAGGGAAGCCTCCCCTGTTGGGAGGGGCCGAACTTTGGAACTTATTCCTCCGTGCCATTGCTTGCTGCCGGCAAGCAATTAAAACTTTATTGCTTTATTTCTCTGATTGCTACGTGGTCATTTGACTGGCCTAACCAATTGCTACAAAAGCACAACTGGGACAGCGTTCACAAGAATAAAAGGTACATGTAAAACGGTGTACAACAACAGCTTAAAAATTAAAATCTAAGATAAGCGCATATACACATAAAGACCTAAAAAATTTGGGCTACCATACAAATTGGCCCTGACACCCTGGAGGCTGACTTCGCCTGTTTTCCTAGCGAACTAATTTGTTTCAGGGGGTGGTCTGCGCCTGCAAATCTGCACACAGAAACTGGTGACCATCCAGGTCGTCTTGTGGTCTTTGCCTATGAGGAGAAAATTGAGTTTAGGCAAGCGCTCATCTCGCTTTATTGGCTGAGGGAGCCGGCGTACAGCTTCCGGGTCATGTGGCCAGCATGACTAAGCCGTTTCTGGTGAACCAGAGCAGCGTACGGAAACACCGTTTACCTTCCTGCCAGAGCGGTACCTATTTATCGACTTGCACTTTGAAATGCTTTCGAACTGCTAGGTTGGCAGGAGCAGGGACCAAGCGACAGGAGCTCACCCCATCGTGGGGATTCGAACCACCGACCTTCTGATCGGCAAGTCCTAGGCTCTGTGGTTTAACCCACAGCGCCACCCGTGTAGCTAATAATATTGAAATATTATTAATAATAAATAGCAGTAATGATTCCTCTGATTTAAGGTTGGGACAGGGTGAAGATGTGAGCTTTGGAGCATCTTGCTTCTGGCAGCTTGTGTAAAGAGTTGCTGTTCAGTTCCTTGCAGGGAAGAGACACTGTTGTCAGATTGTGGCAAGAAAAGCAATACAGGGTCTTGTGGCACTCTAAAGGCTAAACAGATGTATTTCACCACAAGCTTTCATGAACTTCTACTTCATCGGATGCCTGGTATGCTATCCTCTGCAGGCAGGGCGTAGAGAGAGAAACAAAATTATTAGGCAGCAAAGAACAATGGGCTTTAGTAAAGAAATAAAGCTAATCTACTGAGTCATCATTTTATGCCTTCTAATTGATGAGTTTCCTTGCACTTGGTTGCCCTCTGACTTCACTGCTTTCATTTATTTCTCTCTCTATGCCCTGCCTGCAGCGGATAGCATACCAGGCATCCGATGAAGTAGAAGTTCATGAACAGATGGTTCCCCGCTTTTCAATAACTTCAGTACATATGATCTCCATATTTTTCTAGGGAAAATAATGCTAAGAGTTGACTCTAAAATAACAGGAATGGAGTTAGCACACACACTGCTTTATTTTAACCTGAACATTCGCAGAAATGGAGTGAAATGTACATATTTAAATTGAAGTCTCACCAGGGCTCTTTTTATGCAAACCGTATGCTTTTAAATAACACTATGTGCTTGCATAAAACTAGAATGTCATGGATTTTAGAAGGTAGCGGTTGAATTATATTCTCTTCAGCGGCTGCATATGCAAAACAACTGAAAACATTTTTTTTTTTTTTGCCAGTGTAGCTGAGCTAAATATCTATTAGGCATAATTCTTTGGATCAATGTCCTTGTTTTTAGCTTGATGTGAGCACTGCCTCTTACTTTCTGTCTAATGTTTTGTGCTGCTCTCCCTTTTCCTCTACAAAAATGACCCAGGTCTACCCTTGGGCATGGTGGGCAGGACACAAAGGTGTTCTGCTCTCTGTACAGGGGCTTTTCGACCCCTGCTTCCTGTGCTGGCTACCATATGTGTCCAGGGCCAGATTTAGGTTTGATGAGGCCCTAAGCTACTGAAGGTAACGGGGCCCTTTATATGCCCAGCTTTCCTTTGTCAACAACAAATTGTCACTGTATCTTGTGTTGAATATATGCTATATGGTATCTGAAGCTAATGCTAATAGGTATCTAAAGCCATTTGCACATAACAAAATATGTATTTTATCAAAGTACTGTAATTGCTGAACTGAAATACAATTAGGAAGAAGTATATTAATAATGAAATACAATTAAGAAGTATATTAACAGTGAAATAATTATTAAGCCCCCCCCATCCAAACAATAACTATTGTCAGTGCAGGTAAGCAAAAAAAATTAATTTTTATTTTTATCATCTACAATACTGTTTTATTTATTTTATAGTGCTGTACATTGATTATTGCTTTCATTTTATGGATCAATGGTCTCATTAGATCATACAGTTCATGTTAAATTGCTGTTTTAGGGGTTGTTTTTAAAAGTCTGGAACGGATTAATCCATTTTGCATTACTTTCTATGGGAAAGCGTGCCTTGGCTTTGGAATGCTTTGGTTTTGGAACAGACTTCCAGAATGGATTAAGTTTGAGAACCAAGATACCACTGTACTACCTCCTTGCAAGGAGGGGAAGGAACTCTGTTGCAACAGAAAAATAAAAGAAATGCCTTGCTTTCCCCTGGATCCTGCCTCCATCCATTCTTCTCTGACCAATCATGGGCTTAAGGGACTCAGAGTCCCATGGGGAGTTGGCCCCAAGCCCACCTCAAAATAATGTCCCAGAGACATAGTAATTAAATCTCATCATTTTCAAACGAAACATAGCATTATGAGAATGACTCAAAATGCACCTAATTGAACCTGGGGAGGAGTAGAAATCTGGATCTTTCAGGATCTCAGCAGTGAAATGCTGTGAACAAGGCAGGAACTTTGAAAAATTAGAGAACCTAGAGCAACAAATCTAGAGGGGAGTTGCCCTTTAAATTAATAGCATTGCAGCATGGCACTCCCTTAACTGCTATTAATAACAGAGATCAAAGAAGTTGTTTGCTGCCATAACATTGAACAATAAGACAGTTGGGAGAAGAGGAAGATAATCTTCAAAGGGTCCATGGCAGTGAAAGACAAGGAAGAACAAGGAAAAACATATATGGCAATGCTTGAATACATTCCTTTTTTGCCTTTTTCAATTACTGGAAACTGCTCTTATATTTTACCTTCTCTATTAATATGTCTGAAAATCAAAGTTGAACTCACTTAACTGTTCAGTGCCTTCAAGAGGAAAACAAAGAGGGCAGCTATGACAAGCACATTTAAGGAAATTTTTAAGGGAGCCAGCAAACATCTTAATGCTGGGCGGTGTCATACAGGAAAGAATATGAAGTCTAATGTTGTAAAATGATGAAGACACTGACATCCCAAGCCTTCACCTTCTCAAACTTCAGAGGGTGCTTTATTAAGAATCCTGCTCATCCTCTCATGATATTAGGGTTGCTTATGCAATCTAAACTTGTTCAAGCTCATTCATTTCCCCCTGTAATGGGAACATGATGCGGTGCAGCAAGTTGCGTAGGTAAGAAGAAAGGGAAAAGGATGTTGTGATGTATCCTGGGCTCCTTCAGAGTGTCTTTACCCCTCTCTTTACCCCAGCCCCCTGCTGGGTGGGCAAGGGGGTGTCACAAAGAAAGTCAGCTTAAAGATGATCATTGGAATTAAGGCCGCAATAGAATAGAGGAATTGCATTTCCAAGCCCTACTGAAAGTGTGCTGGTCTCTATTCATACATGACCCACAAGGGATGGAGAAGGGTTTTGGACTCGGATCCTGCCCTGAGCCCAGTTAACCTTTTACTCACCAACCTCCTCCTCCAGCCTCCTCCATGCCCTCCACTCTGTCTCTCACCTCCTCCCTTCTTGCTTGCGTGCTGTCCTCCCTGATGTCAGCTGCAACAGGTGAGATCAGCAGGATAGGCAGGCTAGTACAGTATTTGATTCTCTTCCCCTTGCTATGTAGAGAGGAAATTGCCCTGGGTAGGTTGGGCCATGGGAGAAGGGGAGGGCCAGAGGAGAGAAATTGAGATCTTCTGAGAGTGTGCCACTAAGCTCACTAAGAAAAGCAAGCTAGCAATCTCAAGGTTTCCCCAAACATGTAATTAAGGCAGAACAAAGGAGAGTGCTGAAATAGACAGGCAGGCTTAAACCTCTCACTTGGGAGAGCGAGAGCAAGAGAGATTTCACTTTACAGATAGGCTTATCCCCCAGCTCTGGCAAAAGGCATCTAAACATATTTGAACCAAGGATAGACATTTTTTCCAGCACAAAAGTTAGCCATCTTTAAGAGTGTGATGCTGGGCCTGCCTCTGGGCACAATGAACACACCTGCCTCTGGTTTTAGATGTGAGCGTGACTTGCATACAGTGTTTTTAAGGCCACAGAAATCTCCCTTGTACAGGGTCAGGCTATTGGTCCATCACTGTCGCTTCAGGCGAGGAGGTTTCTTTCCCAGCCCTACCTGTCTGTAAATGCATGTGGCAAGAGGTAGGAGAGTTAGGGCCTCAGACATGGAGAGTAACTCACTGATACAGAGGGTAGGCATGGATAGAGGGGTGCTGGTAATCAAAGAAAAGGCTTAATAAACAACGGATCTATCTGGGGTGTATGGCCGGAGGGCACCAGTAGGGGGAGTCAAAGTCAATGACAGGCGCCTTCTGTTTCAACTTTTAAACGTATGAAAACGTTTCTATTCTGTCAGGCTTATGCAGGCAATACCATTTCCCAACATTGTTAGCTGATTCCTGTGTTATTTTAGATACATAGATGCTAGCTAGCTAGCTAGAATGGTTTTATAGGTAATTGTTGTAAACCACTCTGATATATATATATAGCCCTTGCCGCAGCCACCAAGTATGTTCCATATCCTTAATTGCTACTTTTTCCGATCCAAAATTTTCTGCTTCATCTGTTATTTGTTTTGGTGCTTTATTACACCCTTAAGTGTCTAAACACAACTGATAAAAATGTTCCACATGTTTAGCTGACTGTCTTGCCCCATTCAAAACCCTTTCCTTTGCATAATTAAAGCTTTCACTCTGGGTTTATCTTACTGCCTTAACATATGTAAGACAAAAACATATCAATCTGACTTCCGACCACGTGATCTGGTGGGTGAACCAGGTTTGTGCCATAGGCAACTGTCATGTCCCAGGCATCAATGAAGCCCACCTTCAGATCTCGAAAAATGTCCTTTAGCGCAAGGTATTGGGCATAACCATGGAAGTCCCCAAATCGCTCCTGGTCTATTGACATCTCCCGGGTGTTCTCTGCTTTGATGATGACTTTTGTGTCTGGGCTCCTCAGGAGAAGACGCTGGATGGCTGCCCGTATGTTAATCATTCTTCGAATGAAGAGCTCGATGGGGAAGGGGCGGAAGTGTTGGCCCAGAGAGATGACAACTGCTGTGTCTCTGTCACCTGCCACAAGGTCGATGTCCCAAGCGACATAGCTGTGGTCTTTCACTGTGTACTCAGAAGAGCCTACAAAGGGGTGAGCATGTTTTTTCCAATTGATTTGAATGTTTCTAGCCATGTCCACTGCGACCAGTCGGTCGGGTTTCCCGATTGCATAGCGCTTGAGATATTTCAGTGCTAATGTGGGAATAGAGGGGAAAAAATCAGTACAAGTTTTTTGGTCATTGCCCTTAGAAAAATTAGGAGACTACTTCTTGTGGGGAAAACTCTGCATGGCTGGTGTACTCTCTTGGATCTGATGGTGCTATTTTGTTTCAGGACAACTAAAGAGACATTTATATCAGCCTGATTTCCCCACTATTTCATAAGTACCCAGGTCTCACAGAGCAATTCTATACCTCCCTGCTGTTCTCAGATACCAATCCTGCTCCATCATATAATGTTGCTAGATTCTGCACAGCAGTGCTCAAAATTTGTTGGAGGATGACCTGTGCCACAAAGCAGATTTAATGAACATATCAGAGTGCTCTGTAAATTGGTAAAGTCTTTTATATATCAATCTTTTATGCTCTTCCACACCCGCCCAATGCTCCTATCCCTTCTTTTATATTCTTTTAGCTCCTTTTAAATTCTCATAGACTTTTATTTTCACCTTCTGTTTTAATACCCTTTAGTTTTCCAAAATGCTTTTCAGATTTTAAATGACTGTATCCCATCCTTTTATGCTGGTCTATGACTGTAATAAATATTTGTACTGTATTGTATTGTTTCAGGGCAAAGACTTTATCTCTGTCCTATTTGACAGGCTGGGCTCACACTGCAAAGAGCAGAGGACAAACATCTTCTAGATGTCCTTTCTCCAAACAGGAACTGAGCAGAAAGAGCAAACTGTCTCTCACATAAAGTTCTAACTTTGTTTGCAACTGTTTTGGATTAGAACCAAGTCAAACCAGGAAGTGCGTGTCCCTTTTTTTCAGATTACAACCAATTTTTTTATTTTTTATTTTCTGAGGCCCCATTGGCGAAAGCGCGCCTTGGGTTGGGTTGGGTTGCAACCTGTTTTGGTTTACAACCGGGCCTCCGGAACTGATTATGGTTGTAAACCAAGGTACCACTGTATATGTGGATTTATGGGGGGGGGGGAGATCTTTACAGACACCTTTTGTAGGCAGTGTAGGGGGTGCTCGTTGTTGCACTGCCGCCCCAAGGTGCCATGCTGGTGGTTGTGGGTCGTGCATGCCAGCAGCAGAGCATGCTGTCCTGGTGCCCAGTGCGTGGAGAGGGATGTGGGCTTGGAGGGTGAACGGAGCCTGCTGTGTGCCAGCCCAGCCCTCACTGCTGAAGTGACCCTTGAGCTGCTTTGGGGCTGGCTTGGGGAGGGCGGCATGAGCATCACCCCCCCACGCACCCAGGCCAATTGCCCCGGCAGCCCCCCACTGCTGCTACTCCCTTGGTGCATGCATAGGCAAAGACTAGAAAAGGATCAATCAGGGATCAGAGTGACCCGTGTATTGTCATAACTAGGTGAGGATCAAGAACCAAGGCAGCAGTGAATGACTGGAAATAAGCCCTATAGTTGAGCAGACTGAGGAGGAAACTCTGAGCCTTAGCTGGGTGGTGTTCTCCAAGCACAGAACAGATGTTGCGTGTGTCGGGCAGGGGGTGGGGAGTGTACAGGTGACAAAGGAGGTAAAGTTCTGGGGTGTGACTGCTGGGGACCTGTTTGGGACACTCTTTCCTTTCCATCTTATACCTTGCCACTCAGTCTTTTATATAATAAATGTCGTAGCCAAGAAAAACAACAACAATATGGTTCTTACAGCCCTAGACTTAAATTAGGAGATGGCTCTTTTGCGGGTAGAAAGGACTGTGAGTTATCAGAAGCAGGCACTGTGTGTTACTGGAAGCTTTGCTACGTTGAGATTATATCTAGGTGGGAGAACGTACTATTGACTCTCTTTGTGAGATACTCCATCCATTGCCGCACAGTTGAGTCTCCCAGGAGGTAAATGATCTTTTGTTTCAAGCAAGCGTTAATCCTATCCAAGGTATGGAAAGCTGACATGCTGCAGAACACAGGATGCCACTGGTTCTGCCAGACGAAGCCCCTGGGAGATGGGGACCTCATGCCAACCTTGCACTTCTCGCTCGCAGTGGTCATCGCCATGCCTATCAAAAGGAAATGAGAGACAAGCAGGTGCCAGTGACCTCTGTGACAACAGCACTGTAAGGGGAAAAAAACAGGGTTGAAAGTGTGACTGGTCCCACAGCCTCCTGGGCAATCATTGGGGATCCCAAAGCTATAGGAAGAAGGACAGTAGCCAGCAGGGAAAACCCTTTATTGCAGCCCCTCAATTCTGCACCTGGCAAACTGTGTGCAAGCCCTGAAGATGGCGTCATTTTCAAGGATGGGGAAGAACCAGAATAGCAATGGAGTTATTTGTCGTAATTATTTGGCCTCCTGCTTCTACGCCAAGAGGTTTCGGAGGGTCTGAGGACAAGAGCAGCAATAAAGGATAAAATTAAAAACTGTGGAAGGCAGGAGAGCAGCCCAAAAGTCTTAGCTTAAAATAGAGAGAAGACGCCAAGATCCAAAAGCTCTGGCTGAATGAAAAGAGTCTTTCTTGGGAATCTCCTAAAGCACACAAGAGGTTGGGGTGCAGGAGGAGGTTGGGGGCCAGAGTCACTAGGTTGGGTTGAGCCCAGAAAAAATATGCTTGGGGATGGTGAACCTAGGCTTTCTTGCACCCTTGGCAAAGAGCTGTATCTGCACCTCCTGTCCCTTGTGGCCCGCCTGTCCAGAGCAGTGGAGGAGAAGCCCAGGGAGTGTGTGGACAGGCGGGCTAGGCTACTAGCCACTTCAAAATGGACAGGCATGGTTTTTGTGTCATCCCACCCCCACCCCCCCTTGGCAGGGGCCAGCCTCACCAACCCCTAGGCATGCCCCTGGATGGACCACACAAAAGTTGTGACAATAATCAGAATGTCCAGCTCACTTTCACAGGCAATGACACGAATGTCCCCAAATGTCTGAGGGATCTCATCTCCAGTGTTGGACCTTTATGAGAGAAAAAATGGCCATTAAAAATCATGTTGGAATATAAGTCCATTACCAAGAGTGCTGTGGGCTTTATCCCACCCCTTTTTCACACCTCAGTGGCCTCTTTCGGAAATGGAAGCCTTGGCTAGATGGTTCTTGTTGTGTTCCAGCAAGATGATTTTTGTATTGTGGTGTTCTCATTAGGTGCAAATGGAAAGTTATATTGGAGTTTCTTTAAGACAGACCCCAGAGTGTTCCAGCTGTGGAGGATGTGTGTGAAATCAAGGAAGCTACCTGTCAAAGCATTGCTCCATCAAGTTCAATAGTGTCTACACCGACAGGCAGCAGCTCCCCTATAGGGAAATGCTGGATACCAAATTTAAAACATTCAGCTTGCAAAACAGATGCTCTACCATGGAGCCACAACCACATCCCCATATTACATTGAAATGGCTCAGAGTGCTCTTGATTTGGAGGAACCAAAATTAATAATGTTAATAGTCCTACCCTCCAGAGCAGGAGAAAACAAGCTTGCTCCATCTTCCATATGACAGCCCTTGAGATATTTAAAGATGACTATCATATCTGGAGCACATAACTTCCTCCAAAGAATTCTAGGAAGTGTAATTTTCTAGAGCTACAATCCCCAGCACCCTTAACAAGCTACAGTTCCCAGGATTATTTTTGGGAAGCCGTGTGCTTTAAATACATGGTACTCATGTAGACTGTGTAATATCCCCCCCGCCGGGTCAGAAAACAATGGTAACAATTGGCTGGTGGGACCCCGGGTGTTTTGCAGCCTGAAGCGAAGAACAATACCTGCTAAAAAGGCTGTGTTCCAAGGCAGTGAGGTAGGAGATGAGCTTGTTGTTGGACTTCAGGCTAACAAAAGCATCGCAAGGTACATTATTTGGTTTCTCACAATAGAAGGCCTCTCGGTCTCGTACATCTAGATACTCACACAGTTCTGTGTCTGTGGTCTTGTTAAAACCACATTCAGTGTGGACACTTGATGTCCCAGTTAAAAATTTGCCCGTGAAAACTATTTTGTCATAGCCTTTTTTCCTTGCAGCCCACAGTGCAGAAACTCCTTCGCTGGGGTGGATGAGCAAGACGGACACTCTGACATCACCCTCCCAAAATAAAGTGAAATTGACCAGGTACGTCCCATTCCTATAGTCTGTGATGTGCCCAGAAGCTCCGGCCCTAAGACTTGAAGAGAAGATCCTCGCTCGTAAGAAGTCTCCTCCGTATTCCTTCCTCTTGCCCAAGTAGTTGTATAAATCCAGTCGAACCATCAAATGCTCGCCAACACAATAAGAGCCTTTGTAGTTTAAGATGGTGGCCTTGCTGTTCTTAGCACTTGTGGTGGTATTTATATCCATGAAAGTGATGCTGGGCATCAGGTCGTCTAGTTTTCTAAGGACAGCTTTACTTTCTCTGTCCTTTTTTGCCCATTCCATTCTAGTATGTCTCGGGGTTCCATCTTTCATTGGCCAAATTTTGCTCCTGCTGCCTGCGATTTCAATGCTAGAAATGTCTGAAAACATGGGATTCATTTATCATTTTGGGGGGAGGTGACATTCGAATTGTTTTTTCTTTATTACATCAACAGAAGTGCGCTCCCCCCCCCATCGGTATATTGCTTGATATTCACTTTCCACACAAACTAAGACTTTTAGCATAATTGCCTAATATTTTGGACACCCCCTTTGCATTGACATTAGAGAAACACCCACAATTTTACCATCTGCTGGAAACATTTCTGCTTTGCTAAGCATTTTTGTAGAATTAATTCGATTTGACCTCATCCGTTTCTTCTATATTTTATGATTTTATAATTTAATGATATTTTAGTGATTTTATTGCACATCAGTTTTTTTTAATGAGTTGGTCAATTAGGAATACTCTTATGAATAAAATAAATAAATGTTTTATGGATGTTTGAAAGCAAAAGCTCTTACCAATATCCATAGCCATTCCGTTTGCTTCTGACTGCTTCTTCAGCACTCCACAAATGAAATTCTTGAAAATTGCAACAAGAAATAACGGTGAGAGTTTGCACACTACCTTCGCAGTCTCCACTCTTCAGTTCCACAAGATGAATGTTCACAATGTATTTACACACACAACTTCAGAATTATTGATTTCACCGGAGAGACATGAGCTTTAATGGAGGGGGAAAGTGTGAGGATTCCTACCTTAGTGTCAGTTCTGTGGAAGGTGTAGCTGAGGATGATGATTCCTCCCAGCACCAGGGCCAAGAAAGCTGTCGGTCTCCAGGTATGTGTCAAATACATTCTGGTCTCCTCTGAGAAAGTCCTCATGAGTCACCACCTTTGATTTCAAGCCTACCATATACAACATGAACAGGGCAAGTTGTGGGGCGAGCGATGACATAACTGCACAAGATGGTAGTTCAGGCCATCTGCTCACACCACCAAATTATATCATTTTGCAACACTGATTAGCCCTCATCATGCTATTTCAAATTTTGAACGAGAAAGGAGATTCTCCTAGAGCTTTAGCAGCGCAAAGAAAAAGTACTAACAACTTTCTTCACAGGGTGAACAGCTAATCCAGAGCTTTCCAAACTGTGTGTTGTGACACATTAGTGTGTCGGCCGCAGTGTGTAGGTGTGTGTCACACAAATGGTCCCCACTATCCTCCTGGGGCTGAAAAGGGTTAGTTTAACCTCTGGTTTGCTAGTAAAACTGAATGATTGTGTCGTGAAATGATGCATGTCCAAAAAGTGTGTCACCAACCTGAAAAATTTGGAAAGCTCTGAGCTAATCTAAAGATTTCAACCTAGCAGTGGATGAAGAAGAGAGGCTTTTAATGCCACAAAAATCAAACCAGACTTCTAAGGAAGATCTAGATCTTGTTGTGGAGCTCTCCCAGAAGGACCTCAAATATTTCTCTGCAGTAGGAGGGTGGGGGAAACTTTCCCATTGTCTTTTCACTTGTAAATCACATTCATAAAAATGCCTGAGAGGTAAGGGCTTACCCCTCCCTGCAAAACCAGTTTGGGAAGTCTTTCAATTGCTGGAAACTACTTTTATATTATACTTTCTCTATTAATCTGTCTGAAAATCAAAGTTGAACTCGCTTAACTGTTCGGTGCCTTGAAATGTGATCAAGAGGGGGGGGAAAGGGCAGCTATGAAAAGTACATTTAAGGAAATTTTTAAGGGAGCCAGCAGACATCTTAATGCTGGGCAGCATCATAAGGAAAGAATATGAAGTCTAATATTGTAAAATGATGAAGACACTGACATCCCAAGCCTTCGCCTTCTCAAACTTCAGGGGGTGCTTTATTAAGAATCCTGCTCATCCTCTCATAATATTAGGGTTGCTTATGTAATCTAGGGACGCGGATGGCGCTGTGGGTTAAAAAACAGAGCCTAGGGCTTGCCAATCAGAAGGTCGGCGGTTCTAATCCCCGCAACGGAGTGAGCTCCCATTGCTCGGTCCCTGCTCCTGCCAACCTAAGCAGTTCGAAAGAACGTCAAAGTGCAAGTAGATAAATAGGGACCGCTCCAGCGGGAAGGTAAACGGCATTTCCGTGCACTGCTCTGGTTCGCCAGAAGCAGCTTAGACATGCTGGCCACATGACCCGGAAGCTGTACGCCGGCTCCCTTGGCCAATAAAGTGAGATGAGCGCTGCAACCCCAGAGTCGTCCACAACTGGATCTAATGGTCAGGGGTCCCTTTACGTAATCTAAACTTGTTCAAGCTCATTCCGATTCATGGTCAAGTCGCTTGAATGCTATCACTGGCAAAATTCTATTAGGGTTGTTATGCCACCCTAATTGTAGGGATGGTGTCGCAGGGTGAGGGCACACCCACCCCCGCAGCATAAGGCAAGCCACAGCTGTCTAGCCGCCATGCCCACTCCTTGACCTTTTGTCTCCTCAGTAGTGTTCAGTGCCCTGACCTTTACCTCCTTTGCAAAGGTATTGCTCATTTCCCCCTGTAATGGGAACATGACGCCTTGGAGCAAGTTGCATAGATAACTAGGCAACACCCAGGGGGCTCGGGATGGGAGAAGTGTAAAGGTCAAAGCCCTGAATGTATCTTGCTAGTTTTGCGTATCTTGCTAATAAAAAGAGCCTCTGCTAAGCTAGCAATCTGTGCTTTTCGCACAGCTCACTTGCATCATGAACTCCCGTGTCGGCTCTTTTATTTCTACACTAATGGTGATATTTCACAGTGGTGTGGTGTGGAGTGGCTGAAATGCCCCTTTCATTAACTTCTCTCTTAGGTTGTGTGCAGGGGTGGGGTTGAGGCTGGTCAAGAGTGGCTTACAACAGCCGTGCAATGCAGTCCACTATTCTGTTGAATGAGAGGGGACAGACCTAGCCTTCCCT